TGGATATTCCCAAAAAAAGTTTTTAAGGGTTTAATTAAACAAATAAAATGAAATTAGGGAAAAGAAAGGGGCCAAGTATGGCCTTTTTAATTCAGGATATAGGGAAATCCGTTTTCCCCCCTAAATTGTTTTGCAAAAGGGCGGAGCGTTATCGATAAATGCGGGTTTTACGCAAATTTAGAGATCCAAAATTTAGTATGGAAAATTTTTAAAAAATTTTTTAAAAAAAACACATTTTATTTGGCTAACTGCTTAAAAAAATTTAAAAAATACGAATGGGGTTAAAAAAAGGTTGAAAAAATTACTTAGAAAAATTTTCTCATTTGGGTTTTTAGTATAATTGCCCTTCCGTTTTTAAATTAAAATTTGATTGTTGATGTAAAAAAAATTTTTTAAAATTTTTTAAACGAAAAATTAAAAGGTTTTATTCTTAAATTTAAATTTTGGCTTTTTAAAAAAAAAAAGAAAATTGTTATGTTTTTTGATTTTGTTGTAGGTTTTCGAATTTTTTCAAATGAACTAAGTACAACTGCTTCATCCAAATTTCCATAGGATAATTAACTCATTGGAGTACAACAATACCTAATGTTTTGGGCAATGATGTGTGAAATATTTTTTCAATGATCGCCAACCCCTGATATCGGACCGAACCCCGTTATTTGTAACTTCGCCCTTTTTCCTCACTTTGATATTGATGGTTAATGTGAATCCTTTTGACCAGTGAATGTAACAACAATTTTTCTTATTGTCGATAATAAACCATTTGGTGTTTTTCGGATTATTTTCGTTTTTTTTAAATTGCTTTTTCTAATTTTGTTGTTAAACGTTTAAAGAATTGTCTATTATTTCCCCCTGAAATTGGCTGGTAAGCCAAACCCATTGAATTTCCCCGCTGGTTTTTAAAAAATTATTGTGTTCATGTGGACATAGTGTCACCTTGCCTCTCTCAGTTTCTAAACGAGCAGCTGATACTTTACATTACTTAAATTTACTTTATTTATTCATTTAAACTATTTTGGTATATCTTGGAAATTAAAGATTGAGAATGGTTGGTCTTGCTTTTAAACTATTGATACATTTTACTGAGTCACAATTGGGCAATGCCTAACAACATCTTTTTTACTTGACATTCTAGTTGAAAGATGGTTCTTTTGTTTTACCTGAAGGATATGGACAGCAGTGTCTACAGAGTCAAATTGAGAAAAGTAAGATTTTCACACTCTTTCACCTATTTATTCTTAAGTTGAATAATTATTTTTAAAAAAAAAGAAGCTTCATTTGCAACTTCTTATAATGAATATGACCGTTTGTACTTTTTGTTCCAGACATATAACAAACGTTAACTATTTTTCTAAATCGTACTACTGATAAATTTTTTATGGACATGGATATGAATTCGGAACTATTTGTTAACATTTTAAAGTGTAATAAGCTATATCTAATGAAATATAAAATGCCTATGATATTTAACACACATGAATAATGTTCGTTTACAAAATAACATGTCTGGGAAAAAAATGTCATACTGCCTTTTTAAGTAGGACTTTAGCCATTTTGTATTGATTTTAATCTCTTCACACAAATTTCTTTCATGCATGTATTTTGGAACTATTCTGTTTTCATAATTCAAACAATAAATATATAGCTTTATACACTTTAAGGGTTCTTTTAATATTTTTAAAAAATGTGCAAAATCTGGTCAGATTTAAAAGAAGTGAAAAACTGACCTGGTTTGACGTTTGTGGTAAAATTAAGTCATTATCAGTGCATGCTATCAACAATTTTAAAGTACCGGGGTATTTGTAATAAGGAAGTTGTTGTATGATAGAATAAGACTTCTGTTCTTTCAATGTCTTGATCGTTCCTATGTACAGTATCTTATTTAAAGCATAACATTAAAGGTATAAATGTTTTCTTTAAATTTTTATACGGTTGTATGGTTTGAGACTGGTAAATAACAAATTGTGTACTTGGTATAATATTAAATGGCGGTTAATCCTTTTTTTCTTTTCTCAGATCTTAAGAAGGACTTAATACAATTCAACAAAGATATACATGGCACGATACCTATCTCTCCGTTGTTTGAAGATATTGACATGGCAATTCCCGACGTTTATGTCCAGCCTACAATCAACAGGGTTTTGTCGGGCTGCCAAAACGCCAACAAAGGCCAAAGAACAGCACGTATATCATCTTTGAGAGAAATATTTCATGGTCAGAACAGACCTTATCGTGAAATATATTTGTGTGCAGAAACCGGGCTTGGAAAATCGGTGTTTGGAAAACGGTTAGCTTTGATATGGAGCCAAGCGAACGAATCTGACAAAATTCAGAGAAGCTTTACCCAGGACGAAATCGACGCAATCAGTTATTTCGATTTTGTATTTTACATTTCCTTAAAAGAATCTGATCAGACTCATCTTGATGTTGATGAAATGATAAAACAACAGATCATTAGATATCTTGCGCATGCGTCACAATACAAAACTGAATTTCTTGAACATATCTTATCAGAGAGAAAATGTCTGATTATTCTAGATGGTCTCGACGAATGGTCACATGAAAAAGGGAATATTCCAATGAGAAGACCCAGGCAGTCTTGCACATTTTTAACCACCACTCGCCCTTGGAGATATACAGTGGCTAGAATAAAACAAAGTAAGATTGATCTACAGCTAGAAATGACAGGTATTGATAAAGAGGGTAAGAAAGCTTTAATAACAAACATATTAAAACAGTTCGGTAGTTGTGACGATCAATCGGAGTTGGAGAACAGTTTGAAGGAATTTGAGAAAAAAGTTGCAAGAAGAAACGTCAATGACCTGGAGACTAGTCCAATGTTATTATTATACATGATATGTCTCTGGCAGGATGGGAATCCATTAGGTGATTCTCGTTGTGATTTATACTGTAACATCTTAGAGATGCTACTACAAAAGGTGGCACAACGACAGCAACAGGAGGTAGAAATTAACCAGAATGACAGTACTTACAAACCAGAATGCTTCAAGGGAAAGGAGCATTGTTGTAAGAACATTCATTTCGTGAAGAAATTGTCGCATCTTGCTTTCCTTACTCTCTTCAATCAAAGTTCAGCAGAAAATAGGCTGGTATTTAATGAAGACATAGCAAAGAAAAACATGTCAGAAAGCTGCATTGAATTTTGGCTGAAGACCGGCATTATAACTCAGATAGTACGGAGTAAAGGATTAACATTCCGTGATATAAGGATATCCTTTATACACAAAACTTTTCACGAGTTCTTCGCTGCTCTCCATGTAGCATTTAACCAAAAAGAGACAGACATTGTGATTAAATCATGTCCAGATATAAATTCAGTTTTACTGAACGCAAGCTGTTTACAGAATCTATGTGGGCTCAGTCCAATTGCAAGTCAAACAGTTCTAAACGGGATAGCAAATGTTATTTCAAACAGTTGTCAAACAAAAAGCCTCCGGAGAAATACGTACGCTTTCGCAGACTACTGGGAAATGTGTGATTTAAAACAAGATTTCCAGAATGTAATGGTAGCGTGTGTGAATGAATGTAGAGACAACGGGTACGAACCTCGTTATCAGTTGGAAGATTTGTTTCTGAATTTTGATGGTGAACCTGAAAGTCAGTATGTATCATCATTGATTGATTTATTAAGACACTCAGATGTAAAATCAATCAAATTCGGACGCGCCCTTTCCCGCAAAAGTGTCCATGATCTAAGTCTGCGACTGGAAGTGGAAAAAATGAAATCGCTGCAAAAACTGGATATCTGGGGTCATCCTTGTAGTAAAGATGTTGAAATGATGCTAGGGGCGTCTCCAGACACATTAGAGTGTCTTCTTCTTCATGGCTGCAAAATAAAAGGAACGGACAAAAATGAAAAGTACATTGAAGTATCTGAGGAAAGTGTCAATAAACTGCTGTCTTTAAAGGTTTTGGAAAGCATCGACCTTTATCGTATATCAATGAATCATGGTCAGATAGAAAAAATAGTAAAGTGGATAGAAGGTAGGAAGTCGATGAAACAAATTAAAATAGCCCGGGTAAAATGCCTAGATCATGAGAATAACAATTGTTTTGCGCGTATACTGGATCTTTCGGAACACATGCAACTTGATGTCATTGGTGTTGGAAACATGTGCGCTGATCAGGTAAAGGTCAACCCCTTATCAATACGGGAATTTTGGGGAGAATGCAACCAGGCTATGGTCATTTCATTCTTGACCGACTATGCTTCGTCCGCCATAAATATTCATACATTAGTTATTGAATTTATAGATTCATACGAAACTGTCAAAAAGATATTAAGTACATTAACTGATTTGCAACACTTAGTTAACCTACAATTGAAACGTCTTGACCTGCAAGAAAATGAACTGATATTGTCGAGACACAAAACTGTTGAACACGTGCGACTTATTGAAATAACTATGGAGAATCAAGCACTACGAAACTTGATTGAACAGTTAAGTACATATAAACATAGTGTTACAGTAGAAATCGCATCGTGTGAGGTGGAGCATGAGAACGGTGCCGAAAGTTATGAAGAGCTAAGACAAAAAATAGAGATGTCACCTGAAAAATACTCTGTAATTGCCAACCTGAAATGCTCCGGACACGACAATGCTTTTGCGTTCAGAACAATGCCTTCGTAACATGATCGTTGTGTCATTCGAATGGTGACACAGAGATTAACAAGGATGACATTCCTAGACGAGAGTTGGAGTTCAAGGTAAAAAGAATAAAATATTTCAGTATTATATCTTCAGCATTCATGGCAATAAAACATAACAAAAACAAAACAATCATTTATTTCAAACAGGAGAAAGTATATATGACGTAAATGAATGTGCCATGTCTATCATGGTTATCATAAAAATAGTTTGGAAAACATTTATGTCTGGATTGTAATCTAATCGTATTTTCATTGTGATCCATATTTCCATTAGTCAGGTCTTCAAGAAATAACTGTATTTCGGTGCAAGCTCTTTTAACAAATTATGTCTATAATAAAGAAAATGTTTTTCATTATCCCTATAATGTCTATAATAAAGAAATTGTTTTTCATCATCACTATAAATAGCCTAAATGAAATTCCAAATTGTGGAAATCATTAAACTTGATGCAGTTTGTTTGTTTCTTCACAGAAAACTAAATTTGTGATTATGATTTTATCTAAGTGAATTCGATATGAGTATTTTTAAGTGTGTTTAACTACGTGTTATGTTAGTGTATTGGATACGCGTGATGGTCAATCTCATTTGAAACGCGTAGGGTAAGTGTATTTGATAAATGTGACAGGTACGTGTATTTGATCTGCTAGTTAGTTTAGTTAGTTAATTGTATTTGATACACATGCTATTTAAATGTATTTGATGCAAGTGAAAGTCAAGTGTATTTGATACGCATGTTACGAGTATTTAATAGTATTTACTGTATTTGATACACATGTTCATGACATTTAATTTGTATGTTAATCTAATATACTTGACACACATGCTACTTCAGTAAATTTGATTCACGATATAAGTGTATTTCATGCGTAGGTTATTTAAGTGTATTTGATACGAATGTTATTTAAGTGTATCTGGAACCGACGTTATTTAAGTGTATTTGATACGCAGGTTTCTTCAATGTATTTGATACGCATGTTATTTAAGGGTATCTTGTAGCCAGGTATTTTAAGTGTATTTGATACGCAGATTACTTAAGTGTATATGATACGCATGTTATTAATGGGTATCTTGTACCCACGTTACTGAAGTATATTTGGCAGCAGGTTACTTATGTGTATATGATAAGCATGCTATCTAAGGGTATCTGATACCCACGTTACATAAGTGTATTTGATATGCAGATTACTTGTATGTATTTGACACTCATGTTATTTAACTGTATTTGATACCCGCGTTACTTTAGTGAATGTAATACGTAGGTTACTTAAGTGTATTTCATACGCAGGTTACTTAAGTGTTTTTCTGGTACCCACGTTACTTAAGTGCATTTGATACGCAGGTAACCTAAGTGTATTTGATACGCAGGTTATTTATGTGTATCTAGAACCAACCTTACTTAAGTGTATTTGATGAGCAGGCTACTTAAATGTTTTTGGATACGCAGGTTATTTAATTTATCTTGTAGCCATGCTTCTTAAGTTACATAAGTGTATTTGATATGCATGTTATTTAAGTGTATCTGGTTCCCACGTTACTTAAGTGCATTACGCAGGTTATTTAAGGGTTTTTGATATGCATGTTATTTAAGTGTATCTGGTGCCCACGTTATTTAAGTGTTACTTAAGTGTATTTGATACGCAGGTTATTTAAAAGAATAATCATGAGTTTTGAATTTTATTGCAATGACTGTCTACGTTTATGTTTAAACATTCCAGGAATACTCATACATGAAATGTGCAATCAAATTGGTATGTTAATGTGTAGTTTATGTTAAAAACATAATATGAAGGCTTATGTGACAAATAGTAGATGTATACTGCTTGAAAATAAACACCAATATAAATATTTTTGTTTTACTTCTTTTATTGAATTTTGATAGAGCTAATTGTGCATCTCTCAGACTAAAAAAGAAAAGTTAAACTGATAACATAATTGGTTACAAAACAAAAACGTTAAATTGAACTTCAGTAAGTCGAAGTAAAATAATCTTGTATAAAACCTTCATGTCATCGGGACTGCGACCTTCATTTATTTATTATAGTTATACATTATACATGTATATGTGTGAGTCACGACAAAAGAGATACATGTTCAGCAAGCGGAGCGTTGTATAATGTGGGGTTCCGCCTACTGTATTTGGCTATTTATATTATATGTCATACCATACACATAAATTACCAGATTATTCAATAAATGAGAGAGGTAATCGTATAAACATTATATTATAATGTCATCTGATATTGATTGTAAAAAATTACACATACAGTGAGAAATGTCTTGATATAGTGACACTCATGGAAAGTCCCCATTTTTCCGTCTTCAAGTATTTTCCCCCATAACTACTCCACCTTCTTAACATGAATTATGTAGAAAACGCTTGCAAACGTTAGGGATGCAATCAAGTCGTATTCAGTTCAGTTGTTTTGAAAAGTTGTTTTGTTTTTATTTGTTTGGGTCGTCAGACCAAACAAATAATGGTAGCGAAATTTCAGACCCTTATGTCCTTATTTGCAAAAGTAGTCCAAACTCCTCGAAGCGGTTACTTCCCTTTATATGTACACTAACGCAAACAAATTTAAAGGGCGTTAAATGTGTAAAGATTGTCAAATGACATGCGCATTAATTTTCAAACCTTCTCGGGGAAGAAAAAGTAGTTCCCGATTGATCGAATATTTCTAATATTTTGCTATTCTTTATAGATATACATGCTTATATTAAGCTCCATGATTATTTACATCAGTGTTAAACAACAGGTTGACCGTGAACAAAATATATCGAAATTAATAAGGGTTACAAACCCTAAATTAGAATGACGTGGTTTTCTTCAGGCTGTTATCTTATAAATTCCCTGTGGTCAAGGGTTTTACACGCTCGCTTTGGAAGCGAGAGGTCCGGAGTTCAAGTCCCAGTTAAGGCAACAAATGTTTTTTTGTTTGTTTTTTTTAATCTCACAACTGTCTGACATTCTGAGACCCAAACAAATTCAGCGCCTTCTGTGCTTTGATTTATTCCCTCTGCAAGGAACGCGCATATTCACCATACGCTGCTGGAGAGCTTATTACCGGAAACATTTCTAGTACATACATATACATTATAGTTGGAACGTTTATTTTCCTCACTTGCCTGTCACGCAGATAATATCTGAAAGAGAAAGAAAATGTGTCGGAGATTATCAACATTACTGCAGTTTGGGACGTTATTAGGTTTCAAAATAACTTTGAATTCAAAAAATGCGAGATATGTTACTTGGCGAGGATTATATTGATTATTACACAGTCTCAGGTCAGTGTGATTTGTTTGCAGGCTAGGAATGTTGAACGTGAGCGGCTTGTAGCAGTTTTGTTTAATAATTGTACTGTGCAATACAACCAGCATAGAATCTAATAGAAAACAAGATTGCATTTGAGAAAAATGCTATGCCACCGCATTAATACCTAAGCTCTAGGCCTTTTGGGCATTTACAAGAAGGTATTTTAAGTTTTTGAAGCCTTGTACCTTGTACCTACAGACAATAAGATTTTTTTATTTTTTACTATATGTATATATTGAAAATCAATGACCCCCGGGCCGGGGGCAATTTTGACCCCAGGGCTATAATTTGAACAATCTTGCTAGAGGTTCACTACACAATGTTTCATGCAAAATATCTAACCTCTAGCATTTGTCAATTGCTAGAAGAAATTTTTTTAAAGTTTTTACTATATACATATAACGAAAACCAATGACCCCCAGGGCAGGGCCGATTTTGACCCCAGGGCTATAATTTGAACAATCTGGGTAGAGGTCTACAACACAATGCCTTATGCTCTAGGCCTTTTGGGTCTTTACAAGTAGGTATTTAAAGTTTTTACTATATGTACATATAGTGAAAATCAATGGCCCCCGGGGCGGGGCCGATTTTGACCCTAGGGCTATAATTTGAACAATCTTGGTAGAAGTCTACCAGGCAATGCCTTATGCAAAATATCTAAGCTCTAGGCTATTTGGGTCTTTACAATAAGGTATTTTAAGTTTTTACTATATGTACATATAGTGAAAATCAATGACCCGGGGCAGGGCCGATTTTGACCCCAGGGCTATAATTTGAACAATCTTGGTAGAGGTCTACCAGACAATGCCTTATGCAAAATATCTAAGCTCTAGGCCTTTTGGGTCTTTACAAGAAGATTTTTTAAATTTATTCTTATAATTCCTTTTTGGTTGCCATGGCAACCAGATTTCTGTATGGAATGAAATTCTTTGAACAACTTTGGAAGCCCTTCACCCAAGGATCAATCCTGCCAAGTTTGGTTGAATTGGACTATTGGTTTTTCACAAGAAGATTTTTTTACGTTCACTATATAATCTATATAACAATGACCCGGGGCGGGGCCTATTTTGACCCCAGGGCTATAATTTGAACAATGTTGGTAGAGGTCTACCAGACAATGCCTTATGCAAAATATCTAAGCTCTAGGCTATTTGGGTCTTTACAATAAGGTATTTTAAGTTTTTACTATATGTACATATAGTGAAAATCAATGACCCCGGGGCGGGGCCGATTTTGACCCCAGGGCTATAATTTGAACAATCTTGGTAGAGGTCTACCAGACAATGCCTTATGCAAAATATCTAAGCTCTAGGCCTTTTGGGTCTTTACAAGAAGATTTTTTAAATTTGTTCTTATAATTCCTTTTGGTTGCCATGGCAACCAGATTTCTGCATGGAATGAAATTCTTTGAACAACTTTGGAAGCCCTTCACCCAAGGATCAATCCTGTAAAGTTTGGTTGAAATTGGACTACTGGTTTTTCACAAGAAGATTTTTTAAGTTCACTATATAATCTATATAACACACACACACACACACACACACACACACACACACACACACACAAACAAACACACACACACACAGGTGAATCGCTATATGCCACCGCATCGCAGATGCTGCGGTGGCATAAAAATATTTCTTACGTAGTTCTGGCTTCCAAAACTATATAAGACGCTTTTTAACATTTTTGTTTTTCGTCTGATGCGGTATTATGTCATGTCATCGTATATAAACTGGTACGCTGAAGACCTTAAGCTACTTACTACGGAGCTGTGATATACGTGGCCATTGAAAATAAGGTGTATTTTGGTATACGCGTGTTTTTTCCGGGACAATTGACGTTATTGATAGTCTCGTCATTTTAGAATGTCAATTATAACTCGATAAATTCTTATGTTGAATAAGATAATTATTCACAACTGAGTAGAGAATTAATGAATGTTTTAAAGCACTATTGTAACATATTCATTGCCAGGAAGTTCACAGATCAAAATTTGACTAGAATGTGTGTTTCCGATACTCCTTTAGATTATTTTATAATTTGGACGTGTATACGTTTCAGAAAGATCCTTTAGATTATTATACTAATTTAAGAATGGCCAGTGGAAATTCTGGGTTTCAGTTTGCAATTTTAAAATGCCCATTCAAAATCCTTTAAATATTCAGTTCTTCCCTATACATTTTAAAGCAAGTCAAACCAATCTCAGACCGACTTCGTCCGAATAAATGTGGCAGCGTACGCTACAGTACATGACACGATGATCTTTTTTATGCCACCGCAGCATCTGCGATGCGGTGGCATATAGCGATTCACCTGTGTGTGTGTGTGTGTGTGTGTGTGTGTGCGTGCGTGCGTGCGTGCGTGCGTGCGTGCGTGTGTGTGTGTTATATAGATTATATAGTGAACTTAAAAAATCTTCTTGTGAAAAACCACTAGTCCAATTTCAACCAAACTTGGCAGGATTGTTCCTTGTGTAAAGGGCTTCCAAAGTTGTTCAAAGAATTTCATTCCATGCAGAAATCTGGTTGCCATGGCAACCAAAAGGAATTATAAGAATGAATTGAAAAAATCTTCTTGTAAAGACCCAAAAGGCCTAGAGCTTAGATATTTTGCATAGGGCATCATCTGGTAGACCCTTACCAAGATTGTTCAAATTATAGCCCTTGGGTCAAAATCGGCCCCGCCCCTGGGGGAATTGATTTTCGCTATATGTACATATAGTAAAAACTTAAAACACCTTCTTGTAAAGACCCAAAAGGCCTAGAGCTTAGATATTTTGCATAAGGCATTGTCTGATAGACCTCTACCCAGATTGTTCAAATTATAGCCCTGGGGTCAAAATCGGCCCCGCCCCAGGGGTCATTGGTTTTCCGTATATGTATATAGTAAAAACTTTAAAAAAATTCTTCTAGCAATTGACAAATGCTAGAGGTTAGATATTTTGCATGAAACATTGTGTTGTAAACCTCTAGCAAAATTAGCCCCGCCCTTGGGAGCCATAGGTTTATCGTATATGTATATAGTTAAAACTTAAAAAATCATCTTCTCTAAATTTACAAAGGATAGAGTTAAGATATTTTGCATGAAACATTGTGTAGTGAACCTCTAGCAAGATTGTTCAAATTATAGCCCTGGGGTCAAAATTTGTTCCGCCCCGGGGGTCATTGATTTTCATTATGTACATATAGTGAAAAAAAATTTTTGTCTGAAGGTTCAAGGCATAGAGCTTTGATGTTTGATATATAATATCATCTATAGGTCCTCTACCAAAGTTGTTCAAATGTCAAAAATTGGCCCTGCCCGGGGGCAGTGGTTCTCATTATGTACACAAATATTTTCTGAATGGGAGAAAGCTATAGCTTAGATATTTGACTTGAAATGTTGTTTGGTGGACCTGTATCAAGATTGTTATTAAACCCTTGGGTCAAAATAATGCCTTGCCCAAGGGGACAGTGACCTACTTTCTGGTCCTTTGATGTACAGCAATGACATTTTGACCATGTGCACAGTTTTAGTTGTAAAATTGAACTTTGACCTAGATTTTGATGATGTGACCTACTTTCTTGTCCTTTGATGTACAGCTATGAAATTTGAACCATGCGGTGGCATAGCATTTTTCACAAATGCAATCTTGTTTTTTTTATAAATTATACAATTATTCAACAAAATAGAATTTATTACATATATATAATAAATGCCTGTCACGAGGATAGCACACTTTTAAATGAGTCATAATAAAAACATAATTGTAGTTAGACTCTTTGATTAACTTACGACGGAGCTTATTTGCTTCCTTTTCTAATATCTTGTGTACAGCTATTTGATGAAATAATTATTTTCTTTTTTTCAATTTTAAATGAGTTATTGTTTAAATGAAAATTCATGTACTTTCTATTACATTTTATATGAATTACAGCGCCTTTTTTAAAGAGTTCCTGTCAAGGAGCCCCTTGTGTTTTTAAAGCTGAATACCTCAAGATTCATGATAATTTTGGGAGAAGTCTTGAATGTTCATATTCATAACGGATTCTGAATCTCAATATTATTCTAAAGTCATTGTCAACACAAATTACAAGTATTATTAGTTTGGACGATTTACAATAATAATGCCAATCGCAACTTTACGGCACCTTCCGTCGAACTCCGGAGAAAAACCTCGAATACAGCAGTAAGTATCTAACGTACGCTAAGAAACTAAACATGTAAACAAATAGTAAATTAATGCTGGGGGAACTTGTTGGTTAATTTTACTCCAATACTTAATGTTCATTTCAACGACTTTATATAAAAAATTACTATCCACAATAATTAAATGTTGGGAGTTGTTGGTTAAGTTTACTTCATTGACAAACCAGATTTAACGACTTTTTATAAAAAGAAATCCTATCCACAAAACACATTGAAATTCAATCCATTTCCCAATATTTTATTACATAATTGTGTTCATTGACGCAGTACATGTTATTATATTTTATTTTATGCTTTTCAGTGGATTACTGATTTATCCGTGAAAATTATATTTGATAATTTCACAGTGAAAATTATCAAAATATAATTTCACACTTTTCAATGACGAAACTACTTTTTTAAGATAATCCCCATGTGGTACCTCAATTTTATTTTTGCTGACTATTCCGACAATGTCAGGCTGCTTAAAGAAAAGCAAAGCTGAAATTGATAAATAACTTACATATCAAAATTAAAAAAAAGAAGAAAACTTACAGTATGTCACTTCTATTCATTCAAATTACCAATCACCAAATATCGTCTCTTTAATTTTTTGTTTCATTTTTACAGTCTGAAAAATACATTCCTTCAACATGCAAAACTGCTCTTGATGACATTTGGGAATATTTAAGTATCCTACGAGCAATAACTGCCGTATGCTTTATGAAAACATTATGAAAAAGCAATGGCAGCTTTCACTCGAAGAATATGTAAACAACCCAGCGTTCGTAAGGCTTCCAAGTTTTCCAATTTCCTATCCACTTTTTTGAATGTTTACACATCTGTCAACACTTATTTATTGTCTGTTACAATCCTCCAATAAGTTTTCTTTCTTTTAAAAAGGTGTATGACTAACAAATCCAAATGATATCCCTCTGAATCAAACACAATTATTTTCCTCCAGTGAAATACACAACTTTAAAAATGGCGGCCGTTTACATTTAACAAAGCCAGGTCTAATATAAATTCGCAGTCAGTAACAGAAATATGGATGGATGGTTGGACTTTTTCTCCTACTAGAATTGTTTGTTTTTATTATTAAAACAAGCGATCAGACATATTTTTTTAATAAAATGAATACTATCACTACCTTTTAACATTGATTGTGGAACTTATTTTTCAGCCCATGACTTCTTGTATTTAATGAGAAATTAGACTTTTTTTAGGCTCTCAATGGGGAAAACAGATTTTAATATTAACGTAAATATTAAGGAAATTTCGTTTTAACCTGTTTTTAAGCATAAAATAAAAAGAAAATTTGTTTGTTTGTTGTGTAAGATGTAATTTATTTCATCTCGTGAACTTTAAAAACAGTATTCTCACTCGTGGCTACGCCACTCGAGCGAATACTATTTTTAAAGCCCACTCGATGAAATAAAATATCATCTTACACACAAACAAACAAATATCCTCTATATATTATGTTATATTATATCATATTATACATATTTGTGTTGTATTTATATCTTTCTAATTGGTCGGAAATCAATTGGTGATGATACTGTCCGCTTCTGAATGACATCCAAAACAAGGAAGTTCAATTGTTATGGTTAAATGGAAAATAGTGCATTATAGGTTCGTTTATATATTTTCCGCTGCATAAGAATGGATTAATTTGTTTTTACAAATCTGTGTTAATTGTGTTAAACTGAGCATGTTTTAAACGTTTATGTTTAATTTTATGCCAATCTAGCAGGCAAAAGAAAGGATATAATACATTACACTTTGCCAAAATGTTTGTTTATAATCTGATTCACGTTTATTTATTAACATGTTGTCGATTGCTTTGTGTCTAAATATATTTAATGTGGACGCATTTTCTTCTGAAATATTGCCAACTTTCTTGGGGTTAACATTTTATTTTGTCACATAAACTTATATCATGGCTGGCGCATCTTTATAACATAGTATGTTTGCGACCAGCAGGGATCCAAACCAGCCTGCGCATCTGCGTAGTCTGATCAGGATCCATGCTGTTCGCTATCAGTTTCTCTACTTGTAATAGGGTTGGTAAGCGAACAGCATGGATTCTGATCAGACTGCGCGGATGCGCTTGTCTGGATCCATGCTTGTCGCAAACGCATTACGTTGGTTTTGTCGTGACGCGGCTCATACATTTCTTAACATGAACGGAACATCCCTTAAAATGATAAATAATGAGATTGCTAATTGGTTTGACGGAATTATCAAACAATACTCGTGTTTTTTCTTTCTTATTTCTGATAATACATAGCGTGCGAATGAATTTATGCACATGTAAAAGGTTTATCTAGAAACAATATAGTTGTTTCTCCTAGTACATGTATGATTGTGTCTTTTCAGTTCAGTTAATGGGCAGGAAACGAAGATGTCGTACTATACGTCTAAACTGACAAACAAGGACTGTCTTAACTGGGTCAGGGCGCACCTTGCTGTATCTGAAGCCAAAGCTGGCTTACAGGATGTCGTCTGCGACACGTTGCAAGTTCGTCATCAGAAGATTATTAAGCCTGTCACAACTCAAACTCTCAGTAACTTCCGGTGCTCAAGTTGCTACACTCAGACAATTATTTGCTGTTCATTATACACTTGTAATCGCGTTGGAAGAAAGTGATCGAAGCATCAACAATTTAGACCGTGCCCAAATGGAGTGTGTGACAAGATACGGGATAGAATTATAACAGATCATAGACACTCCAATCCTTCCTGGAAGAATACTCGTGCAGAACTTTGGAACACATCCTACTGGGAGTATGCTAAATGTTTTATGCCCCTTGAGGGGTATTCCGACAAAAATGCCTATTCAGAAACAGACCTAAATGGAATCATAAGTATATTGTTAAACCAGAATGATTTTGTTAACGAAGTCGACGATTCCATTTGTCATAAGGTAACGAAACGGTATTATTTAGAATTTATACTCTCTTTCCACACTTTAAAGTGACATTATGCCCATCCAAGGGTATAAATGAGTGGACAGGTGGAAGTCAAAAAATGTTTTCGTTTTGCCATAATTCATTTTAATATAAACATTTACTTTACATTAACAATAAACAACGCACGGATCCAAATGAATTTATCGTAGATATTCATTAGAATTTACCTGTAATGTTCAGTATATAAAAAGAGTGGGGTAGTTTTTTTTATATTTTAGGCAGATTTAATTTTTTCAATATGTACTGTGGTCAATCACCATTTTAACAGCCAATCTTTTGAAATATATAGTCAGTTCATCTCAACTTGACTATAAAAATATGAGCATAATTTTACTTTAAAGGTTCGCAAATTTTGTTTGTCTATAAGCCTTTCCATTATAATTAACACTCGGAATTTTAAATTTTAGAATATCTTTAAATATGTTAAATTCACAATCGCAACTTTTCGGCCCTTTCCGTCAGTCTTCGGATAAAAACCTCGAACTCAATAGTATGAATACACAAAACGGATACGGTATTTCGGTCTAACCTACGCTAACGATTATTTTTTACAGTAAATATAGTTAGTTTCTAATAATGTACATCTACAAACTGCAAATTTATTGTAAAATTGTATCAAAACGCTATAATTCATATTTTTAAACTCACTTTCTCTCACTTTCGTCAAAAAGTCATATTCGTATTTAAGCCAAACCCGAGGGAAACAGGCGGTAAAAAGGCTACTTTTTACTTTTCACCGGTCGACGGGCGACATGCGGTACGATATTTTCTAAAATGTCGCTTCGCATTGTCGAGCGCCGTTTGAGATTGTCGCATGTCATTTGAAATTTTCGCGCGTCGACCCTCAAACAAAACCGCGACACGCGACATACGATATGACATTTGGAAAATGTCGCTTCGCATTGTCGACTGTCGTTTGAGATTGTCGCTTGTCGTTTGATAATGTCGCCGTCGCATTTGCATGGTCGACACACGACAACGCGAAGTGACATAGCGACAATGCGATACGACACTTGACAATGCAAAGCGACATCGCGATATATCGTGCTTTTAAAGGCGACATCTTAAATGGATATCGCGATATTATCGTTTGAGATTGTCGCCGTCGTTTATGATTGTCGGGTGTCACTTCGTAATATCGCTATGTCATTTCGCGTTGTCGTGTGTCGACCATGCAAACGCGACGGCGACGTTATGAATGACTCCAACAGGATTCCGTATAAATGAATAAAATTTAGTATGTATAACAATGAATTACATGTTTACAAATCGCGCATTATGCCAGCTTAATACATCCAAACACTGTTTTCATATGACCCCCTTAACATTTTGTGCAGTATAATGTCAGAAAATACTGAAGTACATAATGATAAATACATATAATGTCAGAAAATAAACAATGACGATAAGTTTATTAAAATGTTCAAATTGCACGATTTACACAGGCACGACATTTATTGAACAATTTGAGACACAATTCAGATATGTTACTTAGTGACCAGATGTTAGAAGATGTCGTCTGCACACTACAACAACTTCTGTCCTGTTGTGAGAGTTTCAAGAATTATTCCAAGACCTCAGACGCTCGAGCCAAATTAGAACAGGTTAATACAGTATTGTTGTTGATGGTGCATGGTGTGTTGTTTTTTTTTGTTTTTTTTTTTTGTGTGTGTGTTCGTGTTTTTATTTTAGTTTTTCATCAATAACGATGTTTGAAACATTTATCTCCCTTAAAATGCTTAAAGGTCCAATATTCAAAAATTACCAGGAGTACCAAGTCTGTCTATATAAAACAGCACACTTCATATACCACTTATTATGGTTAAGTACTATATCAATGAAATACACGCATACATGTAGTTTGTGACAACTGATTCAAAGACTGTTCAACATTAACTTAAAGAGGAACTTATAAGGAAGAGGAAGTTAAATTAATTGTTGATGTAAAACACAAATTGTTATTATTATAAAACGAAATGTTATGATTATTATGTAATAATTATGCCTCTTTTAAATAAAAATGTGTATATTGTTATGCAATAGTCTGTCTGTCGGTTCCGATCAATAACTAGAAAATCATTTCACCTACATCCTTCAAATTTCATAGGATAATCACCCTTATTAAGTAGAAGTACTCGAATGTTTTGGGCAATGATGCTTGAAATTATTTTCAATGATTGCCAACCCCGATATTGAGACCTCCCTGTTATTATGTAACTCGACCATTTTCTCACCTTGATATTGATGTGCATTGTTATCGCTGAATCCTTTTGACACGTGATGTAAACAACAATTGTCTTAGTTTTACGATAAATAACCAGTTCGTGTTTTTCGATATTTTCTTTTTTTTTAATCCTTTGTAATTTTGATGTTTACATTTAAAGAAATGTCTATTGTCGCCCTTGAAATTGCAGTGATAAGCCAACCATTGAATTTCCCGCTGTTTTTAGAACAATTATTGTGGTCATGTAACATAGTAGTCACTCTTGCTCTCTCAGTTTTCTTAATGAGCAGTTGATACTTTACATTACTTAAATTAACTTTATTTATTCATTTAAACTATTTTGGTATATCTTGGAAATTAAAGATTGAGATTGGTTGATCTTGTTTTAAACTATTGATGCATCTTTTGAGTCACAAATTGGCAATGCCATACAACATTTTTAACTTTCCATTCCAGTTGAAAGCTGGTTCTTTTGCTTTACCTGAAGGATATGGACAGCAGTGTCTACAGAGTCAAAGTAAGATTTTCACACTCTTTCACCTATAAGTTATTCTTAAGTCGAATAATTATTTTAAAACATTTGAAGCTTCATTTGCAACTTCTTAATTAGAATGAATATGACCGTGTGTGTTTCTTTTCCAAGCATACATGTATAACAAACGTTGACTATTTTTGGCCGGGTTGCACATGTGCAAACCGGGTTATAGTATGATGAATGATGGGCGGTTGACGGGCGGCGGGCGGGCGGGGAAAAATTTTCGTAACAGTTTTCTCAGCAGCTTCTTATCACAACCTCTTGATATTTAGCATACAGCATCAACACATGGTCCCATACTGTGGGATTCGATTTCAGGTCTGTCGCTCATCCACTTCCTGTTTGTCGACTTAGTTAAATTTTCTACATTAATGGTCAATAGTAAGAAATTTGCGTAACAGTTTTCTCAGCAACTACTATTCACAGCCTCTTGATATTTGGCACACAGCATTAACACATAGTCCCATACCGTGGGATTTGATTTCAGGTCTGTCGCTCATCCACTTCCTGTTTGCCGACTTAGTTAAATTTTTAACATTAATGGTCAATAGTAAGACATTTTAGTAACAGTTTTCTCAGCAACTACTTATCACAGCCTTTTGATATTTGGTATACAGCATCAACACATGGTCTCATATCGTGGGATTCGATTTCAGGTCTGTCGCTCTTCCACTTTCAATTTGACTTAGTTAAATTTTCTACATTAATGGTCAATGATAGGAAATTTTCGTAACAGTTTTCTTAGCAATTTCTTATCACAGCCTTTTGATATTTGATATACAACATTAACACATGGCCCCATACCGTGGGATTCGATTTCAGGTCTGTCGCTCATCCACTTCCTGTTTGCCGACTTAGTTAAATTTTGACATTAATGGTTAATTGTTGGAAATTTTCGTAACAGTTTACGCAGCAACTTCTTATCACAGCTTTTTGATATTTGGTATACAGCATAAACACATTGTCCCATACTGTGGGATTTGATTTCAGGTCTGTCGCTTATCCACTTCCTGTTTGCCGACTTAGTTAAATTTTGACATAATTAATGATCAATAGATAGTAGGAAATTTTCGTAACAGTTTTCTCAGCAACTACTTACCACAGCCTCTTGATATGTGGTTCACAGCATTGACATGTGGTCCCATATTGTGGGATTCCATTTCAGGTCTGATGCTCATTCTTTTCCGGTTTACCAACTAAGTTAAATTTTCAACATCAATGGTCAGACAGTGGTAGAAAATTTAAGTAACATCACAGCCTCATGATATTTTGTATACATTTGCAACCCGGCCTTTTCTGTCTCTGACCCATTTTTCTAAATCGTTCTACTGATAAATTTTCATAATGGACATGCAGTGATATGAATTCGGAAATATTTGTTCACATTTTAAAGTTTAATGAGCTATATCTACGTCTCTGTTATTCAACACACATGAATAATATTCGTTTACAAAATAACATGTCTGGGAACAAAATGTCATACTGCCATTTTAAGTAGGACTTTAGCCATTTTGTATTGATTTTGTCTCTTCACACAAATTTCTTTCATGCATGTATTTTGGAACTATTCTGTTTTCATAATTCAAACAATAAGTATATATCTTTACACACTGTAAGGGTTCTTTTAATATTTTTAAAAATGTGCAAAATCTGGTCAGATTTAAAAGAAGTGAAAAACTGACCTGGTTTGACGTTTGCGGTAAAATTTAGACATTATCAGTGCATGCTATCATCAATTTTAAAGTACCGGGGTATTCGTAATAAGGAAGTGATTGCATTATAGAATAAGACTTCAGTTCTTTTAATGTCTTCATCGTTCCTATGTACAGTATCTAATTTAAAGCATAACATTAAAGGTAAAAATGTTTTTTTATACGGTTGTATGGTTTGAGACTGGTAAATAACAAATTGAGTAGTTGGTATAATATAAAATGGCGGTTAATCTTTTTTTTTTTTCTCAGTTCTTACGAATGACTTGATACAATTCAACAAAGATATACATGGAACGATACCTATCTCCCCGTTGTTTGAAGATATTGACATGGCAGTTCCCGACGTTTATGTCCAGCCTACAATCAACAGGGTTTTGTCGGGCTGCCCAAACGCCAAAAAAGGCCAAAGAACAGCACGTATATCATCTTTGAGAGAAATATTTCACGATCAGAACGGACCGTATCGTGAAATATATTTATGTGCAGAAACCGGGCTTGGAAAATCGGTATTTGGAAAACGGTTAGCTTTGATATGGAGCCAAGCGAACGAATCTGACAAAATCCAGAGAAGCTTTACCCAAGACGAAATCGATGCAATCAATTATTTCGATTTTGTATTTTACATTTCCTTAAAAGAATCTGATCAGACTCATATTGACGTTGATGAAATGATACAGCAACAGATCATTGGACATCTTGCGCATGCGACACACTACAGCCCTGAATTTCTTGAACATATCTTATCAGACAGAGACAGAAAATGTCTGATTATTCTAGATGGTCTCGACGAATGGTCACATGAAAAAGGGAATATTCCAATGAGAAGACCCAGGCAGTCTTGCACATTTTTAACCACCACTCGCCCTTGGAGATATACAGTGGCTAGAATAAAACAAAGTAAGATTGATCTACAGCTAGAAATGATAGGTATTGATAAAGAGGGTAAGAAAGCTTTAATAACAAACATATTAAAACATTTCGGTAGTTGTGACGATCAGTCGGAGTTGGAGAACAGTTTGAAGGAATTTGAGAAAAAAGTTGCAAGAAGAAACGTCAATGACCTGGAGACTAGTCCAATGTTATTATTATACATGATATGTCTCTGGCAGGATGGGAAACCATTAGGTGATTCTCGTTGTGATTTATACTGTAACATCTTAGAGATGCTACTACAAAAGGTAGCACAACGACAGCAACAGGAGGTAGAAATTAACCAGAATGACAGTACTTACAAACCAGAATGCTTCAAGGGAAAGGAGCATTGTTGTAAGAACATTCATTTCGTGAAGAAATTGTCGCATCTTGCTTTCCTAACTCTCTTCAATCAAAGTTCAGCAGAAAATAGGCTGGTATTTAATGAAGACATAGCAAAGAAAAACATGTCAGAAAGTTGCATTGAATTTTGGCTGAAGACCGGCATATTAACTCAGATAGTACGGAGTAAACGATTAACATCACGTGATATAAGAATATCCTTTATACACAAAACTTTTCACGAGTTCTTGGCTGCTCTCCATGTAGCATTTAACCAAAAAGAGACAAACATTGTGATTAAATCATGTCCAGATATAAATTCAGTTTTACTGAACGCAAGCTGTTTACAGAATCTATGTGGGCTCAGTCCAACTGCAAGTCAAACAGTTCTAAACGGGATAGCAAATGTTATTTCAAACAGTTGTCAAACAAAAAGTCTCCGGAGAAATACGTACGCTTTCGCAGACTACTGGGAAATGTGTGATTTGAAACAAGATTTCCAGAATGTAATTGTAGCGTGTGTGAATGAATGCAGAGACAATCGGCACGAACCTCGTTATCAGTTGGAAGATGTGTTTCTGAATTTTGATGGTGAACCTGAGAGCCAGTATGTATCATCATTGATTGATTTACTAATGCACTCAGATGATGAATCGTTAAGGCACACAGGTGTTAAATCAATCAAATTTGGACGCGCTCTTTCCCGCAAAAGTGTCCATGATCTAAGACTGCGACTGGGCGTGGATAAAATGAAATCACTGCAAAAACTGGATATATGGGGTCATCCTTGTAGTAAAGATGTTGAAATGATGCTAGGCGCGTCTCCGGACACATTAGAGTGTCTTCTTCTCCACGGGTGCGAAATGAAAGGAACAAAAGAAATTGAAAGGTACATTGAAGTATCTGAAGAAAGTGTTAATAAACTGATGTCTTTAAAGGTTTTGGAAAGCATCGACCTTTATTGTATATCAATGAATCATAGACAGATAGAAAAAGTAGTAAAGTGGATAGAAGGTAGGAAGTCGATGAGACAAATTAAAATAGCCCGGGTAAAATGCCTAGATCATGAGAATAACAATTGTGTTGCGCGTATACTGGATCTGTCTGAACACATGCAACTTGATGTCATTGGTGTTGGAAACATGTGCGCTGACCAGGTAAAGGTCAACCCCTTATCAATACGGGAATTTTGGGGAGAATGCAACCAGGCTATGGTCACGTCATTCTTGACCGACTACGCTTCGTCCGCCATCAATATTCGTACATTAGTTATTGAATTCATAGATTCATACGAAACTGTCAAAAAGATATTAAGTACATTAACTGATTTTGAACACTTAGTTAACCTACAATTGAAAGGTCTTGACCTGCAAAGAAACGAACTTATATTGTCGAGACACAAAACTGTTGAACACGTGCGACTTATTGAAATAACTATGGAGAATCAAGCACTGAGAAGCTTGTTTGAACAGTTAAGTACATATAAACATAGTGTTACAGTAGAAATCGCCTCGTGTAACGTGGAGCATGAGAACGGTACCGAAAATTATGAAGAACTAAGACAGGAAATAGAGATGTCGTCTGAAAAGTACTCTGTAATTGCCAACCTGAAATGCTCCGGACACGACAATGCTTTTGCGTTCAGAACACTGTCTTCATAACATGGTTTGGTTGTTGGGTCCTTCGAATGGTGACACAGAGATTAACAAGGATGACGTTTCTATACGAGAGGTGGAGTTTAAGTTTGAGAGTACAAAATATTTCAGTATTATATCCTCAGCATTCAGATATTAAAACATATATAAAACATACATTTATTTCAAACAATAGAACGTTTTTATGATGCAAATGAATATGTCCTATCAATCAGCATTACTTATCATGGTTATCATAAAAGTGGTTTGGAAAAATTCAAGTGTGGACTGTTATCTAATCATATTTCCATTGTGATCCATATTTCCATTAGTTAGATCTTGGCCTTCCGGAAAACTGCATCTCTGTGCAAGTTTTTTCAAAAAATTATGTCTATTATGAAGAAAATGTGTCCCTCATCACTATAAACAGCATAAAACAGATTCAAAATTGATTAAGTTTGTTTGTTTCTTCACAGAATACTAACTTTATGATAAGGGGGCGTCCGTGGCCGAGCGGTTAAGGTCGTTGACTTCAAACCACTTGCCCCTCACCGCTGTTGGTTCGAATCCCGACAGGGACTTTGGATTCTTTCATGTGAGGAAGCTATCCAGCTAGCTTACGGAACGTCGGTGGTTCTACTCAGGTGCCCGTTCGTGTCTGAAAAAATGCACGGAGGGGCACCTGAGGTCTTCCTCCACCAGTAAAGCTGGAACGTTGCCAAATGACCTATACTGTTTTGGTGTGACGTAAAACCCAAATCAAAACAAAAACAAACTTTGTGATTGATTATATGTATCTGAGTGAATTAAAAAATGCATGTTTAATGTATTTATTTTGCTTATTAAAGGGATTTGACTGTGTGCATTAAATTATTGGGTCCTTTTATTTTAACCATTTAAACGTTAGGGTAAAATTTATGTGATAAAATTTACGAAACCGAAAAAACTTATTTATCAGCAAAATTTAGTTATATTTTTTTTAACATTATTTATGTATTTGAAAACCGGAAAGTTAAGTGTATTTGATACACATGTTACGAGTATTTAAGAGTATTTGACAAGCATTTTCATTGTATTTTGTTCACATGTTCAGTGCATTTAATATGTAGTTTAGTTAAATGAATTTGATATGCATATTAGTTTAGTAGTGTATTGATACGCAGGTTATTTAAGTGTATTTGATACGCATGTTATTTAAGTGTATCTGAAACCCACGTTATTTAAGTGTATTTGATACGCAGGTTACTTGAGTGTATTTGATACGCAGGTACTTCAGTGTATTTGATACGCAGGTTATTTACGTGTATTTGATACGCATGTTATTTAAGAATATTTGTACCCACGTAATTTAAGTGTATTTGATACACAGGTTACTTAAGATTATATGATACGCATGTTATTTAAGGTTATCTGATACCCACGTTACATAAGTGTATTTGATACGCAGGTTACTTAAATGTATTTGATACTCAGGTTATTTAAGGGTATTTGATACCCGTGTTATTTTAAAGAATGTAATACGTATGTTACTTAAGTGTATTCATACGCAGGTTACTTAAGTGTTTTTCTGGCACCACGTGTTACTTAAGTGTATTTGATACGCAGGTTATTTAAAAAAAATTATGAGTTTTGAATTTTATTGCAATGACTGTCTACTTTTATTTTTAAACATTCCAGGAATACTCATACATGAAATGTGCAATCAAATTTGTATATCCTATTGCTATGTTCACGTGTAGTTTATGTTAAAAACATAATATGAACGCTTATGTGACAAATAGTAGATGTATACTGCTTGAAAATAAACAACAATATAAATATTTTTGTTTTACTTCTTTTAATTGAATTTTGATAGAGCTAATTGTGAATCTCTCAGAATAAAAAGAAAAGTTAAACTGATAACATAATTGGTTACAAAACAAAACAAAAGTAAAATTGAACTTCAGTAAGTCGAAGTAAAATAATCTTGTATAAAACCTTCATGTCATCGGGACTGCGACCTTCATTTATTTATTATAGTTATACATTATACATGTATATTTGTGAGTCACGACAAAAGAGATGCGTGTTCAGCAAGCGGAGCGTTGTATAGTTGGGGATTCCGCCTATTGTATTGTTAAAATGTAATTGGCTATTTATATTATATGTCATACCATACACATAAATTACCAGATTATTCCATGGAAACCATTGACTGTCTTATAATTATAATCCTAAATGTTGTTATGTCTATATAGCAATATATTGAGTCAACCTTTCCTTATACAATGTGCTCTCATTAATATATCATGTGGATCCATCTTAATATGTAGTCAACTGAACAATATATGATGTCAACGTGTTTTTATATGATGTCAATCTATCATTATACGTTGTGCATTTTTTAATATATTATGTAGAGCCATCCTTATATAAGGTTAAAATAACAATATATGATGTCAATTTGTCCTTATATGATGTCAGTCTGCCATTATATGATGTGAAATTATGAATATATTATGTGGAATAATTCTTATATAGATTCAACATTATATGATGTCAACGCGTCCTTATATGATGTCAATCTATCATTATATGATGTGCATCATTATATGATGTGCATTTTTCAGTATATTATGTGAAACCATCCTTATATAGAGTAAACTTAACAATATATGATGTGTATGTCCTTATATGATGTCAGTCTTTCATTAAATGATGTGCAATTACGAATATATTATGTGGAACCATTCTTATATAGAGTCAAAACAACACTATATTATGTAGAATTGTCTTTATATAGAGTCAGCTTAACAATATATGATACTTTTTACTTTGAGTTTTCCCGCTGTTGCCACGAACGGTGCATAGTGAGATATAACCCGGTAAATTTAACCCCATCAGTATAATGACAGAAGCACACGATATTATGATGTTTGCACTTCATATAAAGCAGCGGTCGTATAACAATATATGCACATCGTATAATGAAAGATTGACATAATACATATATATTGATAAGTTGACTGTATATAATGATGCAACCACATAATATATTCATAAATGCACATCGTATAATGATTGGTCGACATCATTTAAAGAGTCATTGACATCATATATTGTTCAGTTGAATTCATATAAGGATGCATCCACATAATATATTCATGAATGCACATTGTATAAAGAAAGAGTGACACAACAACGTTCATAGACAGTCAAGGCTTTCCATATTATTCAATAAATCAGAGAGGTAATCGTATAAACATTATAGTATAAGGTCATCTGATATTGATTACGCATTTTTGTTTAACAGTGAGAAATGTCTTAATATGGTGACACTCATGGAAAGTCCCGATTTTTTCCGTCTTCAAGTATTTAACTTCTCCACCTTCTCAACATGATATATGTAGAAAACGCTTGCAAACGTTAGGGATGCAATCAAGTTGTATTCAGTTCAGTTGTGTTGAAAAGTTGTTTTGTTTTTAGCTCACAAAGTGACAGGGTGAGCTTTTGTGATCGCTTTTCGTCCGGCGTCCGTCGTCCGTCCGTCGTCCGTCGTCCGTAAACTTTTACTTTAAATGACATCTCCTCATAAACCACTAAGCCAATTTCATCCAAACTTCACAGGAATGTTCCTTTGGTGGTCACCTTTGAAAATTGTTCAAAGAATTTAATTCCATGCAGAACTCTGGTTGCCATGGCAACCAAAAGAAAAACTTTAAATATCTTCTTCTAAAAAACCCAAAGAGCTAGAGCTAAGATATTTGACATGAAACATTTTCTAGTGAGTGTCTACCAAGTTTGTTCAAATAAAAGCCCTGGGGTCAAAATTGGCCCCGCCCCAGGGGGTCATTGATTTTTCCTATATGCATATATTAAAAACTTAAAAAATCTTCTTTTTAAAGAACCCAAAGAGCTAGAGCTAAGATATTTAGCATGAAACATCTTCTAATGGGTGTCTACCAAGTTTGTTCAAATAAAAGCCCTGGGGTCAAAATTGGCCCCGCCCCAGGGGGGTCATTGATTTTCCCTATATGCATATAGTAAAAACTTAAAATCTTCTTTTTAAGAACTCAAAGAGTTAGAGCTAAGATATTTAGCATGAAACATGTTCTAATAGATGTCTACCAAGTTTGTTCAAATAAGAGCCCTGGGGTCAAAATTGGCCCCGCACCGGGGGTCATTGATTTTCCTTATATGTGTATAGCAAAAACTTAAAAAATCTTCTTTGAAAAAAACCAAATAGCTAGAGTTTAGATACTGAGCATGAAACATCTTCTAGTGAGTGTCTACCAAGTTTGTTCAAATAAAAACTCTGGGGTCAAAATTGGCCTCGCCCCGGGGGTCATTCATTTTCCTTATAAATCTTCTTTGAAAAAAACTCAAATAGCTAGAGTTTAGATATTAAGCACGAAGCATCTTCTAGTGAGTGTCTAAAAAGTTTGTTCAAATAAAAGTCCTGGGGTCAAAATTGGTCCCGCCCCGGGGAACATTGATTGTCCTTATATGTGTATAGCAAAAACATAAAAATCTTCTTTGAAAAAACCCGAATAGCTAGAGTTTAGATATTAAGCATGAAACATTTTCTAGTAAGTGTCTACAAAGATTGTTCAAATAAAAGCCCTTGGGTCAAAACTGGCCCTGCCCCAGGTGTGTCATTGTTTTTAACTATATGTGTGAAGAAAAAACTTGACCATCTAGACCTTAGATGTTTAGCATGAAACAGCTTCTAATAGGTGTCTACCAAGTTTGTTCAAATAAAAGCCCTGTGGTTTAAACTGGCCCCGCTCCGGGGGCCTATATACAGGTGAGCGACTTCAGGGCCATCATGGCCCTCTTGTTTATTCTTTTTTTAAAACCCCTCTGCAAGGAACGCGCATATTCCCTCCCCATACGCTGCTGCTGGAGAGCTTATTATCGGAAACATTTTTAGTAAATACATATACATTATAGTTGGAACGTTTATTTTCCTCACTTGCCTGTTACACAGATGTTTTTACACGCAGATAATATATGAAAGGGAAAGAAAATGTGTCGGAGATTATCATCATAACTACAGTTTGGGACGTTATTAGGTTTCCAAATAAATTCGAATTCGGGAGATGTGAGATCTGTTACACGGCGAGGATTATATTGATTCTTGCACAGTCTCAGGTCAGTGTTGATTTTTTTGCAAGCTAGGAATGCTAGACGTGAGCGGTTTGTAGCAGTTTTGTTTAGTGAATGAACTGTGATAATAATACAATTAGAATAGAATGTAATAGAAAAAAAAAGAATACTTTTAACGTAGTTCTGGCTTCCAAAACTATATAAGCCGCTTTTAACATTTTTGTTTTCATCTGATGCGGTATTACGTCATGTCATAGTATATAAACTGGTACGTTGAGGACCATAAGCTACTTACTACGAAGCTGTGATGTACATAGTCATTGAAAATAAGGTGTATTTCGGTATGCGCATGTTTTTCCGGGACCATGGACGTTATTGATAGTCTCGTCATTTTAGAATGTCAATTATAACTCTGTAAATTCTTATGTTGAATAAGATAATTATTCACTACTGAGTAGAGAATTAATGAATGTTTTAAGCACTAGTGTAACATATTCATTGGGAGGGAGTTCACAGATCGAAATTTAACTAGAATGTGTGTTTCCGATACTCCTTTAGATTATTTTATAATTTGGGCGTGTATACGTTTCAGAAAGATCCTTTAGATTATTATACTAATTTTAGAATGGCCAGTGAAATTTCCGGGTTTCAGTTTGCAATTTTAAAATGACCAATAAAAACCATTTTAATATTCAGTTCTACCCTATAAATTTGACAGCAATTCAAACCGATCTCAGACCGACTTCGTCCGAATAAATCTGGCCGCGTACGCTACAGTACATATACAAGTTTGCTGCCTGAAAGACACGATGTTTTTTATATATATAAGTTTGTTTTACACTTCAATGTTTTTAAAGATTATATTACATTTTCTCGACGCATCAGGGATATTTTTTCTGCATAGGGAACAATTATCAAACTAAATTTGAAATAGATTACATGTATGTAAATTAAAAGTAGTATAAAAAAGATCTTTGTAATATTCAATTATCAAATTTTCGATTATTGTTTTTTATAAAGTATATGAAAACATTTCCTCTGCAACAGAGGTTTTCTAAAATGGGCATAAAGTATGTAAATCAAACAATTTTAAGTCCCAGATTTACATAAAAAATGTATATATCACTTGATTGGAATAAACAGTATATGCAGCTGCAGCAGCCTCCAACCACAATATTTGAAGAAAATCAAACTTGAGAAAAAATTGTGCCATTTGCGCCAAAAAATCTCCGTTGCGTAATTTAATCATACCGCTTCAAAAGTTAAAGGAACAGCAACATTTGGGTACACGGTTCACTCTGTCATATAAAAGATTCATTCAGATTCATGCTAATTTTCATGAAAATTTTAAAATGTATTTGAATGTATAATATTGTGAAATACCCGAAAGGAATCAATTTACACATTATCAATGGCACTTACAACCCACGAAAAGTGGTCAAAATATGCATATTAACCCATTACTTCATGGGCAATTTGTGAAAAATGCCTGTTTTCATTGAAAAGCCTCCCGTTACAAGTTCAAATTGCTATAAAACTATAAATACTGCTTCAATACTAATCAAACTTGGCACAAATGTTGACTGGACCATTGCCTTTTGCTACAACATGCTCAGGCTTAAATTTCCTGTTACCATGGCAACGAGGGGACATCTCAAAATTGCCAAAAATCACTATTTTGTGTTGATTTTTTTCCATCAAAATTGATTTCAAAGTGCTGCAACTTCTCAATTGATCGAGATAGAGTCAAATGCTTTTCAGCGTTGGTTACACGTTACCTTATGATCGATCTGGGGTCATTTTTAGCCTCTCACAAGTCCAAAGTTTTCTTGGCGATGAGGGGGACTGCCGCCCCCTTCAAACTTCCCAAACAGAAGGGGGCACTTTGTTTCCATTTTGCTCCTTTTATAACAATGTACATAATTTTACAATTAGGGCTATTTTTTCAGGTATAAAGGAAGTAAAGCAATATACGTTTCTGAGTCATAATGTGCCTATTATAAAGAGATTAATTACAGAAATGCCTGTCACGAGGATAGCATACTTTTAAATGAGTCATAATTGAATATAATTGTAGTTAGACCCTTTGTGTAACTTACGACGGAACTAATTTGCTTCCTTTTCTAATATTTTGTTACAAATTGTATATGATGAAATAATTATTTTTCTTTTTCAATTTTAAATGAGTTATTGTTCAATGAAAATTCATGTACTTTCTATTTAATATTTTCTATTAAATTGTATTTGAATTACAGCGCCTTTCTTAAAGAGTTCCTACCAAGGAACCCCTTGTGTTTTTAAAGCTTCATACCTCAAGATTCATGATAATTTTGGGAGAAGTCTTCAATGTTCATATTAATAACGGATTCTGAATCACAATATTATTTTAAAGTCATTATCAACACAAATTACATATATTATTAGTTTGGACGATTTACAATAATAATGCAAATCGCAACTTCTCGGCACCTTCCGTCGAACTCCGGAGAAAAACAGTAAGTATACGGTATTGCGGTCTAAGCTAAACATGTAAACAAATAGTAAATTAATGCTGGGGGTTGTTGGTTAATTTTACTCCAATACTTTATTATGTTCATTGACAAACCAGATTTCAACGACTTTATATTAAAAAATACTATCCACAATAATTAAATGTTGGGAGTTGTTGGTTAAGTTTACTTCATTGACAAACCAGATTTAACGACTTTTTATAAAAAGAAATCCTTTCCACAAAACACATTGAAATTCAATCCATTTCTCAATATTTTCACATAATTGTGTTCATTGATGCAGTACATGTTATTATATTATATTATACATATTTGTGTTGTATTTATATCTTTCTAATTGGTCGGAAATCAATCGGTTGTGATACTGTCCGCTTCTGAATGGCCTCGATCAAAACAAGGAAAATTATATCTGATTTATAAAAATAAGTTATTTATTTGAAGTTCAATTGTTATGGTTAAATGGAAAATAGTGCATTAAAGGTTCGTTTACATATTTTCCGCTGCATAAGAATGGATTAATTTGTTTTTACAAATATGTGTAAATTGTGTTAAACTGAGCATGTTTTAAACGTTTATGTTTTATTTCATGCCAATCTAGCAGGACAAAGAAAGGATATAATACATTACACTTTGCCAAAATGTTTGTTTATAATCTAATTCACGTTTGTTTATTAACATGTTGTCGATTGCTTTGTGTCTAAATATATTTAAACGTAGACGCATTTACTTCTGAAATGTTGCCAACTTTCTTAGAGTTTACATTTATTTTGTCTACACATTTGCAGAAACTTGTATCATGTATAATTTATTTATTAATATGAACGGAGCATCCGTTAAAATGATAAATCTTGAGATTGCTAATTGGTTTGACGGAATTATCAAACATTACTAAATTGATAATACTCACATTTTTTCTTTCTTATTTCTGATAATACATAGCGTGTTAAACAAATGAATTTATCAATATCTAATAGGTTTGTCTAGAAACAATATACATAGTTGTTTCTCCTAGTACATGTATGATTGTGTCTTTTCAGTTCAGTTAATGGGCAGGAAACGAAGATGTCTGACTATACGTCTAAACTGAAAAACAAGGACTTTCGTAACTGGGTCAGGGCGCACTTTGCTGTATATGAAGCCAAAACTGGCTTGCAGGATGTCGTCTGCGACACGTTGCAAACTCGTCATCAGGAGATAATTAACTCAGTCACAACTCAAACACTCAGTAACCTCTGGTGCTCAAGTTGCTATACTCAGACTATTATTTGTTGTTCATTAAACACTTGTAACCGCCTTAGAAGAAAATGCTCGACACATCAATAATTTAGACCGTGCCCAAATGGAGTGTGTGACAAGATACGGGATAGAATTATAACAGATCATAGACACTCCAATCCTTCCTGGAAGAATACTCGTGCAGAACTTTGGAACAAATCCTACTGGGAGTATGCTAAATGTTTTATGCCCCTTGGGGGTATTCCGACAAAAATTCCTATTTAGATACAGACCTAAATGGAATCATAAGTATATTGTTAAACCAGAATGATTTTGTTAACGAAGTCGACGATTCCATTTGTTATAAGGTAAAACAACTTTGTTATTTAGAATTTATACTCTCTTTCCACACTTTTATGGTTCGCAAATTTTGTTCGTCTATGAGTCTTTCTATTTTAATTAACACTCGTTTTTGTCGGAATTTTAAATTTTAAAATATTTTTAAATACAATGTATGTCAAATTCATTTTAGATCTGCAGTATAAAATTGATGAAACTGTTAACAAAATAAAATGGAATATAAATACAATAACATCATTATTATATAAAACTCGCTTTGCCATAGTAATGCCCGATTCTAAGAATATAGTTCCATTTTCTTTGTACAAGAGAACATATTTCCTTTTAACTGGCGTCTTAGTCAAATATCTTATTGTCTTCAATCCCTTAAATGTGGAGGCCATTTCTTTAGGCCTTTTTTTATTTTCATCAACTTCATTTAGGTTTAAAATAGGTATGATATTCACATTTAATGAACTATCAAATACTTATAATTATAAATATTAAGTATACTTTGCATAAATGTGTTCCACCGTTACATATGTAAATGAATAAAATTTAGTTATACGAGATAACCATGACGAAGATTTTTTTATAAATCGCGCATTATGCCAACGGACTGCTAAACGTTTTCAGTACGTCAATACATTTTACTTGAAACGCTGTTTTTTTCCAAATAATAGGACCCCCTTAACATTTTGTGCCGTATAATGTCAGAAAATACTAAATTATATAATATTAATGTATATTCAAATATTAAAATTGCACGATTTACACAGGCACGACATTTAGTGAACGATTTGAGACACAATTCAGATATGTTACTTAGCGACCAGAAGCTAGAAGATGTCGTCTGCACACTACAACAACTTCTGTCCTGTTGTGAGAGTTTCAAAAATAATTCCAAGACCTCAGACGCTCGAGCCAAATTAGAACAGGTTAATATTGTGTTGTTGTTGGTGGTGGTGGTGGTTGTGGTGGTAGTGTTTATTTGTTGTTTTTTTTTTCAAAATTTTAATCAATAACGATGTTTGAAACATTTATCTCCCTTAAAATGGAAAAAAGCTCCAATGTTAGTACCAAGTATGTGTATATCAAACAACACATTTCATATACCACTTATTATGGTTAAGTACTAAAGCAATAAAACACGCATCGTTTCCGACAAATGATTCAAAGACTGTACAACATTTATTTAAAGAGTAACTTGTAAGGAAGAGTAAGTTAAATTGATTGTTAATGTAAAACACAAATTATTATAATTATTAAACGAGAAATTAGGAGTATAACTTGATAATTATGCTTCTTTTAAATAAAAAAGTAAATTGTTATGTAATTTTCTGTCAGTCTGTCGGTTTCGATCAATAACTAGCTACAACCTTCAAATTTCATAGGATAATCAACCTCAATGAGAACAAATACCTTTGACACGTGATGTAAACAACAATTGTCTTAGTTTTACGATAAATAACCATTTCGTGTTTTTCGATATTTTCGTTTATTTTAATGCTTTCTAATTTTGTTGTTAACGTTAAAAGAATTGTCTATTATCTCCCCTGAAATCGCGATGGTAAGCCAACCATTGAATTTCCCGCTGTTTTTAAAACAATTATTGTGTTCATGTGACATAGTAGTCACTCTTGCTCTCTCAGTTTCTTAACGAGCAGCTGATACTTTACATTACTTAAATTTACTTTATTTATTCATTTAAACTATTTTGGTATATCTTGGAAATTAAAGATTGAGATTGGTTGGTCTTGTTTTTAAACTATTGATACATTTTACTGAGTCACTTTTGGGCAATGCCTTACAACATTTTTTTACTTGACATTCCAGTTGAAAGATGGTTCTTTTGTTTTACCTGAAGAATATGGACAGCAGTGTCTACAGAGTCAAATTGAGAAAAGTAAGATTTTCACACTCTTTCACCTATAAGTTATTCTTAAGTTGAATAATTATTTTAAAAAATTTGAAGCTTCATTTATGAATATGACCGTTTGTACTTCAGACATATAAAAATGTTTACTATTTTTCTAAATCGTACTACTGATAATTTTTTTTTATGGACATGGATATGAATTCGGAACTATTTGTTCAAAATTTAAAGCGTAATAAGCTATATCTAATGAAATATATAATGCCTCTGATATTTAACACACATGCATAATGTTCGTTTACAAAATAACATGTCTGGGGAAAAAATGTCATACTGCCTTTTTAAGTAGGACTTTAGCCATTTTGTATTGATTTTAATCTCTCTTCACACAAATTTCTCTCATGCATGTATTTTGGAACTACTTTTCATAATTCAAACAATAAATATATAGCTTTATACACTGTAAGGGTTCTTTTAATATTTTTAAAAAAATGTGCAAAATCTGGTCAGATTTAGACATTATCAGTACATGCTATCAACAATTTTAAAGTACCGGGGTATTTGTAAGAAGGAAGTAGTTGCATTATAGAATAAGGCTTCTGTTCTTTCAATGTCTTGATCGTTCCTATGTACAGTATCTTATTTAAAGCATAACATTAAAGGTATAAATGGTTTTTTTTTAATTTTTATACGGTTGTATGGTTTGAGACTGGTAAATAACAAATTGAGTAGTTGGTATAATATTAAATGGCCTTTTTTTCTTTTCTCAGATCTTAAGAAGGACTTAATACAATTCAACAAAGATATACATGGCACGATACCTATCTCTCCGTTGTTTGAAGATATTGACATGGCAGTTCCGGACGTTTATGTCCAGCCTACAATCAACAGGGTTTTGTCGGGCTGCCAAAACGCCAAAAAAGGCCAAAGAACAGCACGCATATCATCTTTAAGAGAAATATTTCACGGTCAGAACGGACCTTATCGTGAAATATATTTGTGTGCAGAAACCGGGCTTGGAAAATCGGTGTTTGGAAAACGGTTAGCTTTGATATGGAGCCAAGCGAACGAATCTGACAAAATTCAGAGAAGCTTTACCCAGGACGAAATCGACGCAATCAGTCATTTCGATTTTGTATTTTACATTTCCTTAAAAGAATCTGATCAGACTCATCTTGATGTTGATGAAATGATGAAACAACAGATCATTAGATATCTTGCGCATGCGTCACAATACAAAACTGAATTTCTTGAACATATCTTATCAGAGAGAAAATGTCTGATTATTCTAGATGGTCTCGACGAATGGTCACATGAAAAAGGGAATATTCCAATGAGAAGACCCAGGCAGTCTTGCACATTTTTAACCACCACTCGCCCTTGGAGATATACAGTGGCTAGAATAAAACAAAGTAAGATTGATCTACAGCTAGAAATGACAGGTATTGATAAAGAGGGTAAGAAAGCTTTAATAACAAACATATTAAAATATTTCGGTAGTTATGACGATCAGTCGGAGTTGGAGAACAGTTTGAAGGAATTTGAGAAAAAAATTGCAAGAAGAAACGTCAATGACCTGGAGACTAGTCCAATGTTATTATTATACATGATATGTCTCTGGCAGGATGGGAAACCATTAGGTGATTCTCGTTGTGATTTATACTGTAACATCTTAGAGATGCTACTACAAAAGGTGGCACAAACACAGCAACAGGAGGTAGAAATTAACCAAAATGACAGTACTTACAAACCAGAATGCTTCGAGGGAAAGGAGCATTGTTGTAAGAACATTCATTTCGTGAAGAAATTGTCGCAACTTGCTTTCCTTACTCTCTTCAATCAAAGTTCAGCAGAAAATAGGCTGGTATTTAATGAAGACATAGCAAAGAAAAACAAGTCAGAAAGCTGCATTGAATTTTGGCTGAAGATCGGCATTATAACTCGGATAGTACGGAGTAAAGGATTTACATCACGTGATATAAGGATATCCTTTATACACAAAACTTTTCACGAGTTCTTCGCTGCTCTCCATGTAGCGTTTAACCAAAATGAGACCCTTATAACAGATATTGTGATTAAATCATGCCCAGATATAAATTCAGTTTTACTGAACGCAAGCTGTTTACAGAATCTATGTGGGCTCAGTCCAATTGCAAGTCAAACAATTCTAAACGGGATAGCAAATGTTATTTCAAACAGTTGTCAAACAAAAAGCCTCCGGAGAAATACGTATGCTTTCGCAGACTATTGGGAAATGTGTGATTGAAAACAAGATTTCCAGAATGTAATGGTAGCGTGTGTAAAAGAATGCAGAGACAACGAGTACGAACCTCGTTATCAGTTGGAAGATATGTTTCTGAATTTTGATGGTGAACCTGAGAGCCAGTATGTATCATCATTGATTGATTTACTAATGCACACAGATGATGAATCATTAAGGCACACAGGTGTTAAATCAATCAAATTTGGACGAGCTCTTTCCCGCAAAAGTGTCCATGATCTAAGACTGCGACTGGAAGTGGATAAAATGAAATCACTGCAAAAACTGGATATATGGGGTCATCCTTGTAGTAAAGATGTTGAAATGATGCTAGGCGCGTCTCCGGACACATTAGAGTGTCTTCTTCTTCATGGGTGCGAAATGCAAGGAACAAAAGAAATTGAAAGGTACATTGAAGTATCTGAGGGAAGCGTCGATAAACTGATGTCTTTAAAGGTTTTGGAAAGCATCGACCTTTATTGTATATCAATGAATCATAGTCAGATAGAAAAAGTAGTAAAGTGGATAGAAGGTAGGAAGTCGATGAGACAAATTAAAATAGCCCGGGTAAAATGCCTAGATCATGAGAATAACAATTGTGTTGCGCGTATACTGGATCTGTCTGAACACACGCAACTTGATGTCATTGGTGTTGGAAACATGTGCGCTGATCAGGTAAAGGTCAACCCCTTATCAATACGGGAATTTTGGGGAGAATGCAACCAGGCTATGGTCACGTCATTCTTGACCGACTACGCTTCGTCCGCCATCAATATTCGTACATTAGTTATTGAATTCATAGATTCATACGAAACTGTCAAAAAGATATTAAGTAGATTAACTGATTTTGAACACTTAGTTAACCTACAATTGAAAGGTCTTGACCTGCAAAAAAATGAACTGATATTGTCGGACAAAAAAACTGTTGAACACGTGCGACTTATTGAAATAACTATGGAGAATCACGCACTGAGATGCTTGATTGAACAGTTAAGTACATGTAAACATAGTGTTTACAGTAGAAATCGCCTCGTGTGACGTGGAGCATGAGGACGGTACCGAAAGTTTTGAAGAACTAAGACAGAAAATAGAGATGTCGCCTGAAAAATACTCTGTAATTGCCAACCTGAAATGCTCCGGACACGACAATGCTTTTGCGTTCAGAACACTGCCTTCATAACATGCTTTGGTTGTTGGGTCGTTCGAATGGTGACACATAGATTAACAAGGATGACGTTCCTATACGAGAGCTGGAGTTTAAGGGTGAGAGTATAAAATATTTCAGTATTATATCTTCAGCATTCATGATATAAAAACATATATAAAACATACATTTATTTCAAACAGGAGAAAGTATTTATGACGTAAATGAATGTGTCGTGTCAATCAGCATTATCATGGTTATCCTAAAAGTAGTTTGGTAAACATTCATGTGTGGATTGTGATCTAATCATATTCCTATTGTGATCCATATTTACATTAGTTAGGTCTTGGTCTTCCAGAAATAACTGCATTTCTAAGAAAGCTATTTTAACAAATAATGTCAATTATGAAGAAATTGTTTTTCATCATCACTATAAATAGCCTAAAAGAGATTCCAAATTGTGGAAATCTTAAGACTAGTTGCTGTTTTTTTTATTTTTTCACAAAGAAAAATATGTTTATGTTTATGGCTGTTTTTCGTCTTCATCCAACTTTGTGCTTATCATTATATCAAAGTGAGTTCGAAATTTAAGTGTATTTAACTGCGTATTATTTAAGAGTATTTGTTAAGTGCATTTTATACGTGTAAGGTAAGAATATTTTATACACGTGTTAGATACGTGTATTTGATCTGCAAGTTAGTTTAGTTAGATTATTGTATTTTGATACAGATGCTATTTAAGTGTATTTGATACAGAGTATGTGAAGTGTATTTGATTTCATATTAAGTGCATTTAATATGTATTTAGTTAAATGTATTTCATATGCATGTTAGTTAAGTGTATTTGATTCACGAGTCAAGTGTATTTGATATGCGGGTTACTTAGGTGTATTTCATACGCAGGTTATTTAAGTGTATTTGATACGCATGTTATGTAAGGGCATCTGGTACCCACGTTACTTAAGTGTTTTTGATACGCAGGTTTCTTACGTGTAATTGATACGCAGGTTACTTATGTGTATTTGATACACATGTTATTTAAAGGTATCTGGTACCCCAATACGAAAATGTGTTTGACACACAGGTAATTTAAGTGCATTTGATACGCAGGTTACTTAAGTGTATCTTTACGCAGGCTATTTAAGTGTATTTGATACGCAGGTTATTTAAGTGTATTTGATACGCAGATTGTTTAAGTGTATTTGAATCGCAGGTTAACTAAGGGTATCTGGTACCAACGTTACTACGTAGGTAATTTAAGTGTATTTGATACGCAGGTTACTTAAGTGTATTTGATACGCATATTATTAAAGTGTTTTTGATACGGATGTTATTTAAAGGTATCTGGTGCCCACGTTATTTAAGTGTTTTGATACGCAGATAACTTAAGTGCATTTGATACGCAGGTTACTTTTTAATACGCACGTTACATAATTGTATCTGGTCCTCATGTTACTTAAGTGTATTTGATACGCGTTACTTAAGTGTATCTGGTCCTCATGTTACTTAAGTGTTTTTGATACGCAGGTTTGTTAAGTGAATTTGATACGCAGGTTACCTAAGTGTATTTGATACGAAGGTTATTTAACTGTATTTGATACGCATGTTATTTAAGTGTACCTGGAACCCATGTTTCTTTAGTGTATTTGATACGCATATTATTTAAGGGTATCTGGTTCACACGTTAAGTGTATTTGTTCGTCTCATAATCTTCATAATACAATAATCATAATTATATTCATATATAAGGGAGGTTTTAGGCGGTGTTTTTTTCTGTCGAAAGTTTTATTGCAATGACTTTCTATGTTTAAACGTTCCAGGAATACTCAAACATGAAATGTGCAATCAAATTGGAACATCCTATTATTATGTTCACATACAGTATATACCTTTGTTAAAAACATAATATGAAGTAATATGTAACAATATAGTACATTGTACATGTTTTGGTCTACTGCTTGAAAATAAACACCAATAAACAATTTCTGTTTTACTTCATTTAATTGCATTATTATAATTATTATATATCTCAGAATAAAACGAAAACTGATAAAATGATTATTATGGTGGCTGATCTGGAACACTTGCATCGTGTTGTCGCTAGCGACAGCACGACAAAGAGCAAAACGGCGCGTTGTCGCACTGCACGCAAAACAGCGCGTTGTCGTGCGGCATGTTGTCGCGATGTCACATTGTCGCTCGGTTCAAATAGAAGGCTATTTGTATATATATAAACCAAGAGAAATGGCGACATCTCGCCACACGGCAACGACAGAATGACAAGACGACAGTGCGACGACGCGCCGTTTGGCCCGTTTCGCTAGCAACAAGACTAAAAGGCGGTAACGATATAGGTTGTGTTGTCGCTATCGACAACGCAACACGCAAAGTGTACCAAATTAGCCACCATATGATTATTACATCGATGGTGATGACACAAAGTAGGTGGGCTTGTATAGAAACTTCGAGTCATCGGAATTTCGATTGATGTATCGGTTTAAATTTAATAAAAAAAATCGAGCCGTCGATTTACAAAAGGCGTAACAAAAGGAAATGGCGATTACTGAATAAACTTAAAGTAAATATATATCGTGTGATTATCACGCGACACACGGTATACGAAACTAATTCGTGATTTTAATTATCATACTATGGAATAATTACAATAAAAGCAATAATGGCAATATATCGACACCAATGCTCTATTTGCAGTCAGAACGTCACGAATTTTACTCATAGCAGTAATCATAATTGATTAAATCAGCAGTCTGTGCCATTCTCTCTTGGATAAAAATCATTACATTATTTAATACGCATGTTAATTAAGTGTATCTGGTACCCACGTTATCTAATAATAATACGATAAAATGTTGTATAAAATCATGACGCAATACCATGGTAAAACAGCATCCGGTAGAATTAGGACAACAAATATTTTTTTCTAGAAGAACAGAGCATACATCGTCGGATACCCACGGCCGAACCATTAACATTGATCTGCCGTGGGATTTTTTGCCGATATTCAGTCGATTAGGGGTGTGTCAAAGGCAGCTATTTCATTGGCTGCCTCACGATTTCATGAGGCGATTAAAACCAATCAAAACGCTCGTTCTGTAAGACGTTCGGTATTACAAACAATATTGCGACAACCATAGACGACGTGAAAAGTTCAACATCGGAAAATTAAACGATTTCAGCAAGAAAGTATAGATAATTTACTTTTACAGCGTGATGTTTTCCTTTCTGATTGATATCTGCTTGCAGAAGAACTGATTTGGCGATAGTTTTTGACATTGATTTTAGCAAAACAAGTGCAACAGTATTTAACCGTGGGCGCTGCCATTTTGTTTCTTATTGTTTTTAACCTCCGCTGCTGAAGAATATAGATTTGTTAAACGCGATGTTATTGGTAGATATTTTACGCACCTGTTGCTGTATATCGACGCAAATCGATTCATTTTACCCACGGTTGATTGCATGTTATGTGACATGTTTATCAATCGTGAAAATATCTATGACATAAACTATTAACATTTCCTGATATGTTTACATACTGTATCAAATCCAGAAGGTAACTTTTAGATTTTATACGAAATTTAAAATTCAATAAAGTCTATTATGCTAGTTGCGAGTGTATATATTTAAATGTCCCTTCGTTGAAGTCTCTAACAGTTTGTCCGCCTCCTTCCAGTATCCATTTAGTGGTCAGTAATCCTTCCACGCCCACTGGACCCCTGGCGTTAATCCTGCATGTACTAATCCCAACTTCAGCTCCTTAAATAATAATAGATCTAATATTATAGTGATGTAAGATTTAAAGTGGGGGCAGTATAAGGATCTTACATCGGCTATTGTACATCTTGCTCGAGGATAACTGTTTACGGCTGTAACAAGGCTCTGCCGAGTTTCCGCTAAACAATTACCCGAGAGCACGATATTCAGTCTGTGACGACAGGCGATGTTTGATATTCATTCTTCGCCCATCCGATTAGCTCAATAGAGAGAGCATCGAGTTTGAAGAATATGAAGACATGAAGTATCTCAGTGACATATTATCTCGGCCACTAAATCTAAACGGTTATTTGTCTCTCATCGCTTATTCAGAAATCATATGGGATTAGAAATCGGTAATTTGCGGAGAAATTTGTAATTACAAAATGTGTCGGCAAAGACGATTATGTTGACCGCCGAGATTTCACAAAAAGTGTGTTAGGATCAGTGTAAAAATAGAAATAAACATAACTTGTAATTCATCACCTTTAAAAGCTATGCAAAGCATTAATATGTGTTTAAACATGAAGGAAACTAGAGACACACTCGACTTAGTCGACTAAACTGCTTTAGATGGAAATGAGACCAAACACAGGTGCTTTAGATAGAACGGACGTATGCAAGACCGGGTCACAATCCGGAGGTTACAAGTTCGATCTCCGCCATTCTTAAGATAACTACAAAAATCTGTTATTCGGATGATATTCAATCTACGGTCCCGTGTATATTCTGTAGAACAGTACACCGAATTAACAGATTGTAACTGCAATTTAACCAAATTAAATGCAGAATCAATGTATTATCCTCTAATGATCAATGCCTTTGTTTACAGCTGATATTTTTATATGATAATAGATAAACAAATACACAACATGTAGTTGCGTGTGAACTTACCAAGTCCGAACCTGTAACCGTCAGCGAACCTTGTACTGGCATTGTGGAAAACACAAGCACTATCTACCCCTTCTATGAACTTGTCAGCATTTTTAGCTGTAAAAAATAGATTAAAATAAAAAAATTTAGGTATAGGACTTAGATCTAACTTTCATATTATATTACATATTGTATTTTGATAAGAATGTTAAAGTTTCTTAAAATGTACGCTAAAAGATATGTTTTGTTACATCGGCCATCAATGTGACATTTTGATACTGACGGCAGTCCAAAGCTCAATCGCAAAGTTCTATTCGGTTCCTTCTTTACATTTTCAGAAAAGCTTTCTAGGTACTTTGTGATGTGATGAATGTTCAACGCCCTGTAATTGTGATTTATATATCAAACCCTCTGTCAGGAAAAGAAGTTCTTATCATAAACTTACCATCCTCCGTGACAATGACGTCAGTGTGTGAGCTTCCGTACGTGTTGATATGATTAATAGCTTCACTGACGTCATCAACGACCTCTATTGTAAGTTCAAGGTCACTGTATTCTTTACTTAATGAAGAAGCTAATGGTGGACTAAACTTGAGCAGCGAGTGAAGTCTGGGTCCAGAATAAACACGCACATGTCTACTTTTAAGGACGTCACACAAATCTTCAAACAGCCCACTGGTCATGTGACATTTATTTATCAGCAGCGTCTCCATGGCATTGCAAGCTGAAGGGTAGTCGCACTTGGAGTCTTCAACTGAAAGAAGATTGTCAAAAGCATCAATCAAAAACTTAATGTACAATGTATATCTATAATTTCTCAAACAAAGTTATACAGTCACCATAATCATGCCAAAGTTCGGTACATTTCTTCTCTGTCTGATAATTGCAGGGCCAATTGAAGATTAAATTGAGTTGTAAAATACGCAGTCATAAAAACGCCTTTTCAGCCGACTACTTCTGAAATAAGTAATAGCATCCTAACAGAGACAAAATTGCTCTCAATCTTCTTAAAATGCAATTGCGAAGCTTCCTTGGCCGAGAGAGTAAGGTAGCTAATTTCGACCCACATGCCGGCGGAAGGGAGTCTCATGACCGTTGTTTCGTATTCAATTATGTACGAGAGGAAGCTATTCAGCTTGCATACACTAGTACATGTATCTGAATAATGCACGGTTAACATGGGATGCCGCAATCCTACCTTTACGCTACTGGTGTGATTAAATTCCAACTATAACATAATGCATGCATATTAAAATACATTATTTAATTTAACTGAAAGTGACCTAATACAGTACAATTAACAGAACATTTATATACCACTTACCGATTCTGGCGGCCATTTCATGGTCAACATCACTATCAATGTATACATGGCATATACCCTCACTGTGACCCAGTACCGGGATACCATGGCTTTGCTGCTGGATGGTCCGTACCAATGAATTCGATCCCCGCGGTATAACAAGGTCGATGAAGTCGTTTAAGGTCAACAGATCCTCAATATCTTCCCTTTTACTGACCTAGTTAATATGGTACACGAGTTTTACAAGAGAGAAATGAAATGCTTGGAAAAAATACGATATTATAATAAATCAGTTTTAATTTTCATGGCTTCCTTGGTCGAGTGGTGCTCCGCTCCATTCGAGATTCCTGCCTAACAAGAGAAATATTCTGAAGACTTCTACATCGGGAAATAAGTGATCATAATTATAAAAAGAAATTGTTTATTACAGATAAAATTGACTTCTTCATTTATAAATTTGGAATGTTCCACAAAAGCTTAATCGGTATATGTTTTTTAAAATGTTAAAACTTTCAACATTCTTTATCGTGAGCGTCCGTGGCCGAGTGGTTGAGGTCGTTGACTTAAAACCACTTGACCCTTACCGCTGTAGGTTCGAATCCCGACAGAAGTTTTGGGATTATTTCATGTGAGGAAGCTATCCAGCTAGCTAACGGAACGCCGATGATTCTATTCAGGTGCCGGTTCGTGTCTGAAATAAATCACGAACTGCAACTGATGTCTTTGTCCTCCAGTAAAGCTGGAACGTCCCCATATGACCTATACTGTGTCACCTTGACGTAAAACCCAATTAAACAAACAACCAAACATTTCACCTGGAAAATATTATTACGTGTAGCCTTTAACTTCTGTAAATGATTAAGACATAGAAATAATAATTCAGTGAATACTTTGTAATAGATTTATTATTTAAGATATGAATCAAACTTACCAAGGCAACAGCGTTCGTCACATTGTGAAGGCCAAGCGCTTCCTGAACAAGACTAAACAGCATCTGGTTGCTATGATACGCCTCCTTTCCGCCCTTTAACAAAAGACCATTTCCGCTGCTAATTGCCAGTGCGGCAACCTGTGACAACAACATAACATGGTTTGTAAGAAATATACAATGCATGGTCTTAAAGATTTGAAATAAATAAAATATAGCATTAGGACTTTTCTATTAATAAAAAGTATGTAATTATGATATATGCATTGTGTATAGTATCTTTATAGAATAACGAGTTACTTTAGGACGTAGTCTTTATAACGAATATTTCAATATCATAAAAAATTCATTGCTGACAAACATCGGAACCCATTCATTCCGACATTCATCCTTTGTGCAATGCAGTGTTACTAGGTCAGACGAAAACTAGATAAAGGTCATTTTATTGTTAACACAATTCGGCAGCCTATATCATGAACAAGTCTTTGCTAACCTGTGGTAGACAATCCGGACGAGATTCAAATATGACAAGCAGGACGCCGATTGGTGACGTCAACTTTTTCAAGGTCATCTTTTCACTTATTTCTGTCGTCTGTAAAACTCGGCCAATCGTCTGCAACGAAGAATCCGCTATCTGTTTGATCCCTGTAGACAGCGTCTGTAGCTTAGATGGTGTAAGTTCAAGACGAGATATTAGCGCTTCTGACAACCCTGAAATGGAAATGGAAAGTGTCAGTTTTGTTAAACAACATACTACGATGCTTAAAAAGATAAAGCAAAGTCATTATCATATATGAATCACAATATTTTTATCAATGTGAAATTATGTATTCAGTTTTATATATAAGAACTAAAACTTTCAGAATGTGTATACCTTCACACTGAGCCTGTAACAAGTCTCGTCTGTTGGCTGCGAGAATATCGTCTCGTCGTTCAATCAGCAGCTGAGATAATCGTTCTATTATTTCCTGCCTTTGACTGGGGTTCAATGACTGTAGTTTCATACTTGCTTCTTTAGCTATTTTGAATAAATAACAATGATGATATAAAGATGGCCGATTGCAATCTGATTAAAATCAGCTCCTAATAAACGCTACGCATTAGGAAATAACTTAAGTAGATCTTAACTTTACTCAGATTGTGGTGTATTGCTTAATAATGCAATAGTGTAACTAAATGGAATGAGGTTATTACTATTATTCATTGAATCTTCATTTAAAGTCACATTTTACTCTAAACCTTAGCCAAAGGCTCTCTTTTACAATAAAAATATATTTGAAATAATAATTATACCTTGTTTATACGGAAGCTGCCAAAAGGAAAGCAAAAAAGTTATTATATTAGTAAACAAGGACAACTTTTATGCATGCATACATTTCTTTCTCCGTTAGAGTAATATGGTGATAACAGAGGTCATTTATTACCTTGAATGGCCTCCAGCTCTACTGGGCTGTTCGAAGACTTTGCATTAGTGAAGAATGTTCCTACACTTTTACCATCCACAATATTAGTAAGAGCTCTAAATTCCCGACCGTTACATATAACCACGGACACGCCCCTGTCTAGGGCCCATGTTGCCGCCATTACCTGCATGTTAAAGAAAATTCACATCATTTAATATTAGATAAATTATGAATGTGTTTCGTGTACGAATAAATTGCACATTATCTATTCATAAAAATATAAAATGTTAACTAAAGCAACATTCATATTCCGATGTTATCAACGTCATAATGTACTTGCAAAGCTACATGTACATGTATACAATGATTACCTAAATTATTTCTAAAAACAATCAAACCTTATGGGTTGTTACTGAATTCTAGAAGCTGGATAAATTTTACAATGATGAAAAATGTAAATATTATACCGTGAAATATTTGACATAACTACCATATGTATTTTATACTATTCACTGACTTTTCATCGCAAAATACAAATGTACGTTGGAATTTATCAAAAACATTGCCTGAAAAATCTTTTGAATTATATCAAAAACTAGAAAATAACATACAAATGAGAATATATACCTTCGATTCCATTCCCCCAAGACCAACATTTGATTTGCCTTTAAACATTACGTTCTCCATGTCTACTTTCGGAGAAAAGGTTTTGATAAGTCTCGAGCCTTCCACTTCCGGTGGGTTAACGTGAAGTCCGTCCACGTTCGACATGATCACCAGCAGATCCGTGTTCATCTTAACAGCAACTCTAGCCGCTAGATTGTCATTGTCTTTTACATTGCTTATCTGTGTATAAAAATCGTTTATGCTCGGTAATTTCCGTATAAAAATATTATTTATGCAAGTAAAATCGATATTTTCTAGGCGGCAAAATGAGATATTTTCCGTCGGTAACCGGGTAAAAGGAGCGATATGTAAATAGAAAAAGCTTTGATAATAAATATATGATAAAAGATGTTAACTGTACTTACGCCGTCAGAACTCATTTCCGGTGGGGAGACAATGGCGTCATTCATGTTGATAATTGGGATTATATTGTAATAAAGAAGCTCGTGCAGCGTCTGTTGTAATATATTACTTGTGAACTCGTTCTGGAAGTCTCGGTGACTCACTAAAACCTGTCAAACAAAATACATGTATGTTATAAAGATTCTTAATTAGACACATAAATGTTCAGTAATTCCATAGTTCAAACTTAGAAAGCCGTGTTTTGTTCGGACTCCCGACTAAAAACATACAAGCGTTCCAGTTTTACTTGTGGGAAGCTTCAGTAACCATTTTGTGAAATATATCTCTGACCGAGCGGGACAAGAACTCAACTCCGGGAATTTTAGCGGGGTTGCTGAAAGTTGCTTTCTACCTTACGAAAAAAAAGCCCCTGAGGGATTCAAACCCAAAAGAAGTAAGAGACGGGAATTTGAATTAACCACTCGACTTCGAAGGCTCCTTTGAGAATCATTATTGCTTGAGATATAAAAAACATGGGTATTTATTTACATTATACATGATATCATAATTACTTGAGCAGTCTTGAACCCGTATTGCGCAAACATTGCTTCATATAACGACATTAGACCACTTTGTCCGGCCGCTGCACATGCCCTCGGCTCCAGAAACGGGGCCATCTGGAAGACAACAAAACATGTTAAGCTGATATAATCGTTGAATGGTGTTAAAATGTGTATACAACGTTCCATAATATTATACTTATAAACTGATGATATTATAGCTTGGATTGTCAAGCTGCCGTGTACATGTACCATAAAATATACCCTAGTTTTTCAAATGCCATTAATCAACTGAACCAGTCTGACACGGCGATATTACTAGTTTCAGTTACAAGGAATGATGAAATTAAATCACATTACAGACATTATTTACAAAACTTTAAAAAATCACATGTTAATTAAAGTATTCCAGCGTACTCACAGAATTTCCGCCGGCGGAGAGTGTCTGTCGGACGCTCTGCGACATTAGAATCTCGCGTCGGAGTTTCTGTTTGCCGAACGCCACAGCCCCGCTGGTCACCATGCTCATCTGTTTACCTTGTTTCTGCAACTCACATATCTGTAAGAATAATGCATGCTATGAGTGCATGATAAGAACGCCATATAATAACAATCGGAAGTCCTTATCCGAAGATTGACGGAAAGGGTCGAAAAGTTGCGACATTAACGTTCAGACGGGCCAAAAAAGTTAGTCATCAATAAAAACGAATTTTCATTTCGAAGAAAATTTGTTTTCACCATTTATATACCGTCGGTCTGTTAATAACAACACTAATTACTATTATCTTTCTTTGTATACATGTATTTTAGTAAGTTATGATAATATGAAAAGTATGTTAAATGTCGATTAAGGCACTCTTAGCTTATAACCGTATAATAATATTCAAATGACATGTTTTTGCCAAAATGTGTTTAAAATGACTGTTCGTTATCAAATATTGATACTAGGGTTGAGGCGAGGTAAGGAACTTCTAATGTTTGCCCCATTAACCGGATAAGAAAGGGTTCGAACTGTACGTTTTATTCCGTTAATAGAGTAATCAAATACCTGCTCGACGATGGAGGCCAATCTTCCGAGGGCGAGGCCGCACTCATCCTCACGTGTTACCACAGCGCTTCCTAATTTCACTAAAATCCTGTTAGCATCTTTTAAATCCCCACGATACAAGAACCGATTTTCTTTTGAAACATCTGTACTGGCATATCTTAATTGTTTTTGTTTAACATTGACATAAGATGTATGTTGATTATCCCAACTTCTTGAATGACTGTAAATTGTCAACTCACGATATTGTAATACGTTAATGCACGTGTTATTTGTTCTAGAATTAAGAAGTTTTGTTTTTGATAATTGTTTAAAACATTTAGCACAGGTCTGCAAACGTAAAGACGCTCGATTTGAGAATACACACTGCACCATTATCTGAAAGCGAAAAGTGATAACATTTAGTTATATTTTTATTGAAAACATAATTATCAGGTGATTGTAATAATCTATGTTAGAATTTTCACATTAATTTTACATACCTAAGCGTACAGTACTTCCTACTTACCATGGTTACTTCGGGAACACGGGAACAAGAAATATTGTTGTCATAAATTACACTTCACGAAGATGTCCAAACTGATTGACCTCAGTTACTCAAAACACGTGTTTACGATGAATTCGCAATTACGATACATTCGTAAAGTACGATGTCGTGACATTTTTTATCTAATTCTCTATTAAGATCATTTAAACATTCTTCATTATTATTTGGTTATTCAGCTCTATTTTTCTCGATTTGTTTGATTTGACACTAAAATGAAATCTTCCGGAGATAGTTAACATCCAACCAGCTCGACGTGGAAAACTTTTCAGAATAAGTAATTCCATCACTTGTACAAAGTCGATAAGGATTACATTTAAAATTAGGTAACCCCGAAGACTGTCTCGACTTTACCGTGTTAATAACATTAAGGTCCCTGACTCATAAATGTGTCTGCACTGAACTGATAAAGGTTAATTTCTATAACCATAGACTAAAATGTCATCACGGAATAGGTGAATGACTTAAAAGGTCTTGAAAGATGCCACGGAATTTTTAACGTGTACAAGAATGCATGGTACAACAAAAACAGATTTCTACTTACATGGTTTCAAAACAATGTCAACTGTAACTTATAGGTTCTCATTCACATTGAAGTTGCGGTAAAATTGTTAAACGTATTTTAGTATCGAAACATTATATTGCACTAAAATTGCGATAAATATTGAAAGAATATCAAGGAGTAAATTTCTTCAAAATGCATTGAATTTCAAAAGCGTTATAATGGCCTATTCCATTCTGCACATTTCCGGTAGAAATATATTTAAATTAAACAAAAATTATCAAAATTTTAATTCTACTCCAACATTGCCACACGTCGCGTTCTCGCCATAAAGTGATTATACAAAGAAATGGATTAATTCAAGGCTGTTTCATGGCTTCTGTGCGAAACCATTAAAGATCTTGTAACTCAATTTTTTATGATTTTATATCATAAATATGATGCTCAAATGAAGATTTATCAATAACTTCAGTTCCAAAAAGGATTATTTGTAAAAATATTACCGAATTTACATTTCATGTAAGTAAAGGGAGGTGATTAGAAATTTATTTTCGATAAAGTTTAAGCCAATTTTTTCAATAAGAAATGAATGCATATAGTGTAATGATTACTTATAATGCTTTTATACACATTTGCAGTGCATATTTCATATTGTTGGATATTGTTTTAAAAGAATATTCATATACAAATATAAAATATCACTTAAGTGTTGTTGCATTACAACATACAGGGTCTTTAAACAACTAAACTCTTTGTAATATTAACAGTCTTGGAATAAGATAATAAACATACATACATACATACCTTACGTTCATAACCGAACAAAACATATAGTATTGGTATTACTATGTATAAATTTTTTTTTTTTAAAAAGATGTTGAAATAGATTAACAGGCTCCTTTCACCTTATCGAACCTTTACGAAAAAATACAGAATATATAATAATAAATACAGAAAAAAAATCAAGGTAAAACGGTATTCAAAATAGTGTACTCACTGAGAAATTATAATATTCCAGCATTTATAATAATATATCGTTTAAACATGTGATTTAACAACAACCGGCTGAAGTTTTTTGTATGATTTGCATCATTTTTGGGACTTTCGGTTCTTTTAAACACTTTGGTGAAAACCGCTGACGAAGTATTTCATCATCGGTACGCACTGTATATAATTTATTTACATGTACACAAAAAACTACACACAGTTGAGGTTAGTTTGATCTAACGGTGCTTTGTTGAAAAGCTGAAAACTTTTATGCAAGATACCCTAAGGAAATGTTCGCTTGCTTTTTGCTCTAATTTATGACAGTTTAACGATATCAAAAGGCGAAAGTAATAATCATTATATAAATTACTTAGCAAAGTATTATTTAAAGATCCCTTGTTAATCATTATATCGTGCTAAATGAGTATAATAGAGGAACTTCATTTGTATCAAAATTAAAAAATTAAACAGCACAAAATATACATTGTATTTATTCCGGTCGGATTGCACGGATGTGCTACAGGCACGCCTGGCTAGACATGTTAAGTATATATATGTAACTTGCATGACGACGACAGGTTGATGCCCTCGTTAACAGACATGCCTGTAGATGTAGAAAAACGTTTTTAAACATCTTATCAATTTTCAGTAAAGCACCAAAATAAGTGTTTAATGGAAGCTCTTTATTTAGAGATAAATTTGCATTCATTGATCATGTCGTAATCACGAGCTGTCACCTGTGATAATTCATTTATGGGACTATTTTAGTAGCGTAACAACGGTTATAAATTGATAGGTAATAAGAGAGATAACCCAGTGTAATACTTCGACCACGAGCGCAGCGCGTGTCCCGGCCGTTATTTCGTCATCATATGTTTACATTGCATCAACAAAATGTGAGCGTTTCAAGCAGAAAACAAAAATTAAATTAGAATTCGTCACACGATTAAAAGCAGAATGCCATAAGATTAATGCTAATTTTGTGAACATTTTGAATGAAAATATTGAATAAAGAAGGTAGAATCTAATTTACTTTGCACTTAACATAGATTACTAAAAAGAGCTAAATCATAGCCCTTAATGCATTATTCACACAGTAGAAATATGGTGATAGATACTACAAAATCACATTAATAGCACATAACATGCGCACTTGTTATTGAATCTGGAGTCATTTTACTTTTTTAAGTTTTAAAAAAAGTTTGAATGTCCAATACATTGGCTCATCTAGAGGTATGCAACTTTAAACATGCTGAAAAGATCTCGTATAAGAAAAGACATATTAGCATGTAACAAAAAGTATTTCCAATTTCTATTATAAACACGGCGATTTCAATCATTTTTTTGTCAGAACAGCTTATTTTGTATTTTATAGTCATTTCATTTATCATTTTAAAATAGAATTTCTTAGTGGTTCTCCTTCCTTATACGTTATATATCAAGAATGAAAAATAAATGATTAACTTAACTGAATAAGACAAGGGAAACAATCATGAGTATCTTTAATAAAGGTACTCCTCCGAGACGGGACTGGAAATAATGTTTCAGGCTAGGGCTAGAATAATAATCTGTCAGATCATTTGCTTGCTCAGTTCTTCCAGAATATTATTCTGATTTTAAAAATATTATCTAAATTAGAAAAGCGTTGCAACGCTTTCCACTCGAATCAAAAGCGAATCGGGATAGGAATAGCACAAAAATACGATTTTCAAGTTATTACCGAGTATATCTCTTAAAAATCATTTTCATATATTTTTGTTTTATATTATAACAGGGGATTATTTGGAATCAGAATATTTTACTGTTTTGTTTGTTAGATACAAATACATACTTTTATGTACAATTTCGCCATATTTCTTGTCATCGCGACATTTTAGCCTTTTTACCCATATGCATTTTCGACCCCCTCCCTTTTTTAGGCCTCAAATAGTGAAAAAATGTCCTGTTTGGGCCCAAAACACATGTTTTCGTTTGATAAATGTTGTACAAAAATGAGCACTTTTTCGGTGCCACCCATCCCCCTCCAATCCAAAAGGTACCTCAGGGGTTGCCAGACGGGGTATGTGCCCCCTTCTGTTTGGGGATTTGAAGGGGGCGGCAGTTCCCCTCATCGCCAAGAAAATTTTGGACTGATGAGAGGCTAAAAATGACCCCAGGTAGATCATAAGGTAACGTGTAACCAACGCTGAAAAGCCTTTGACTCTATCTGAATCCATTTAGAAGTTGCAGCATATTGAAATCAATTTTGCTGGAAAAAAATCAAAGCAAGATAGTGATTTTTAGCAATTTTGAGATGTCCCCTCGTTGCCATGGTAACAGGAAATTTAAGACTGGGCATGTTGTTACAAAGGCACTGGTCCAGTCTACATTTGTGCCAAGTTCAATTCCTATTGAAGAAGTTTTTATAGTTTTATAGAAATTTGAACTTGTAACGGGAGACTTTTCAATGAAAACAGCCAGCGTGACCCGCTTTTGTCGTGTTACTAATACAATTGAAATACTACTACTATCTTCATACATATCTCGCCCCTCGGTACGTGCGCATCGTTCAGAGGTACAGGGCATCGGTAGAAGATTTGAAGCTTGGCTGAACCTTGCTATTTCCAGGACAGGTCCAGTACTGTAATTTAAATCACAGCGTCGTGTTTGTACATATAGGGGAAGTACTGGAGACCAAAAGTACCACCATCATTTAAAATAATGTTTTGGTAAGTCCAAGCTTTAATTTTGTGTCTCTAATATTGACAAGAGGGCCAAGATGGCCTTAGATCGCTCACCTGACCTATCGAACTCATCCGAGCAATTACCTAGACAAGCATCCTGACCAAGTTTCAAGACACTTGAGTAAAAAATGTGACCACTGGAATGTAATTAACAAGGTTTTTCCACATTTGGGCAGTGTGACCTAGTTTTTGACCCCAAGTGACCCATATTCGAACTTGACCTAGAAATCATCAAAACCAACTTTCTGACCAATTTCAAGGAAATTTGGCTCAAAACAGTAGCCACTAGAGTGTTAACATACAATTTCTATTTTTAGCGCCTTCGACCTAGTTTTTCATCCGAGATGACCAATGTTTGAACATATCCGAGCTATTACTACACCGTAGGGAACGTGTTACAGTATCGCGTTTTTCGGTTACAGTATAGAATTTTCAAGATGGAGGATTATTTATGGGAAGAGAGGTAGGTGATTTTTATTCCGGTCCATTCTACTAATAGTTTAGTTTCTAAAAGATGTTTTTGTGCTTTGCTTGTAAGGGACACAATCCGGTATCTAGTCATATATTTCTTCAGACCCTGCACCGCAGATTTATCTCTATATTGTCTCATAAATGTGCAGATTTGACAGTCTAAAAATTTGAATCGAGAGACCAACGCATTTTTCTCCCATTCCGACATTTTTAAAGCATGCCTAGATAAAGTAAATCTACAAAACGTTAGTCCTTTGTGTTTAGAAACGTTTATAAAAGTAAATGACCAGTTGAACCTACTTTCCTTTTCGTTAAATGCGTTTGAAAAAATAAACTATGTTACAGTATAGAGCTAAATATCTTAGCTCTAGCTCTTTGAGTTCTTTAAAAGAAGATTTTTTAAGTTTTTACTATATGCATATAGGGAAAATCAATGACCCCCCGGGGCAGGGCCAATTTTGACCACGGGGCTTTTATTTGAACAAACTTGGTAGACTCTTATTAGAACATGTTTCATGCTAAATATCTTAGCTCTAACTCTTTTGGTTCTTTAAAAGAAGATTTTTTAAGTTTTTACTATATGCATATAGGGAAAATCAATGACCCCCTGGGGCGGGGCCAATTTTGACCCAAGGGCTTTTATTTGAACAA